CTATGAATCAAAGAATTCTGGAATAAAACTTAAGAAAATCATTGTTGTTAAACGAACTGAGATACACATAACTGTACAACTACTAGTGAGAAATAAAAGTTAAATAACATTGATTTGGTTGATAAATGATATGTTTATCAAACGTTAAACGGTCATCAATATTTAACACAAGATTGGACTACATGATCAACAAATCCAGTGATTAAAATTGTTAACATGTTATGGGCTGTTTCTCTTCATTTTTTCAATCAGTCCAAGTGAACATAGGTTCAAAACATTGTTTTTAACATAACTAGTTTATATTTGAAGTGTGAGAATATTTTTCCCGACTTTATTAATTTTTAGGCAGTGAACATAAACACGTCAAGTAATGAGTAAATCTGTAAATGGAAAGGCCGTGCAAAACTAGTTAGTTCATTTCCATTATTAAAACAATGTGAAAAAAAACAGGAAAATCATTTACACTCTGCACTGAGAGTTGAAGGGTCTTCATTTAGAACAGTTATGACGCCTCATGTTGAAAGCAGATATTATACAGAAATAACCAGGCCGATACCCCTTTTTAGTAAATACAGCAACAATTGATATAGGTAATGGAATGATCGCACAACGTGGGAGATCAGGAGAACTACTCAAGTAACTGAGGAAATGAGGAGACAAAATCTCTCTCTGATTAGGGTAAATGAAACCCCAGCCCTACTGAACCCACTGGAGATCGAAGCAACACACACACACACCTTCCTATAGATGTCACATCACCAACAATCGAAGAAATCACTACGTCTATCGGGCAAGTCGACAGCAGGAGAGCGACTAAATTCATAAAAAGAAGCAACAGAAAAGATGATCCAAATTCCTTTTAGAAAGATTTAGGAGGAAGAACAAGTGCCACCAACGGACTGGAAAGAAGGATACCTCATTAGGATACCAAAGAAACATTTCAGCAAGCATGAGAATTACATAGGAATTATACTACTATCAGTACTAGGACAAGTTTTCAACAGTGTTTTTGAACCAAATGAAAAATTCAGTAGACGCCCAACTTCTAGATCAACTAGCTGGATTCCGTAAGGATCGGTCATGCACAGACCAAATCGTGACATTATTGAACAATCGATTGAATAGAATTCGTCACCATACATCAACTTCCTTGACTATGAGAAAGCATTTGACAGTGTGGATAGGAGAATCTCAGACACTGGTGTACCTGAGATCGTCAACGTCAAATGGAATTCCTACGATGGACTACAGTGAAAGGGTGTAAATGGAGGGAAGCTCATAGATGTATTTCAAGTGTAGACTAGTGTCAAAGGAGGCTGCTTACTCTCGTTTTTTTATCCTTCTGCTGGTTGATTGAATTATGAAGACCTCCACATCTCAGGGGGGGACTGGCATACATACATTATTATTATTGTTATTCTTATTAGTTGTCCAGTCATGCATCCAAAGCAGGTTGGCCACTGCATATCAGTGCTGGACTTATCGGTTCCTGTACCAATTCATCTTATGAGGATATGGCACGTGCTGCCAGCAGCACGCTGTGGCAGACCGAGAGGACCAGTTAAATAGCAAAGGAAATCAGCAGATACAACTTGGCGATTCTCGGAATCAGCAAAACCATTGGATGCAAGCTGGATAGCAAACGTTAGGTACGGGATAGATGCTTTTGTACTCCGATCACGGAGAAGAAAGTGATCCACATACTCAGAGAGTCGCTCTAATGCTGTCCAGAGAAGCACTGGAATTATCAAATTAACAGATGACTTAGACCTCCTATCCCATACACAACAACAAATGCAAGTGAAGACAGCCAGAGCAGCAGTAGTAGGCCTCAACAATAACGAGGAAAAAAGAAAGATCCTGAAATATCATACAGCCAACAACAACATAATCACACTTGATGGTGAAGCTCTGAAAGATATAAAAGCCTCTAAATACCACGGGAGTATCACCGATAAGTAAAGAGAATTTCATGTAGATATGAAGGCACAGATTGGTAAAGCAAGCGTAGCATTCCTATAAAAAAGGAACATCTGAAACTCAAAACAAGTGTCCGTCAACTTCAAGGTCAGTACTTTCGATACTGATGTTGAAACAGTTCAATAGTAGGAAGCTAAAATTAAGAGAATCAACATCAACAAAAGTAAACAGGTATTTATAAACAATTGTTTACACAAAATACTCGAGATCTATTGTTCAGACACCATCAGCAATAACCTACAGTGACGGGAGAACAAACCAGCTTTCAGACGAAGAAGGGATTAAGAAAAGACTTTTGAGGTGGATAAAATACACAGTGACAATTCATCAAACTCCATCACAAGGGAAGCCATAATTTGGAATACTCAAGGTAAAAGAGAAAGACCAAAGGACAGATGGCGGTGGTATTTGAAGACATACGTTAAACGAATAAGTGCTATTTGTTAACAACTGGAAAGAAAAGCCCAGGACAGAATTAATTGGGGACTTCTGGTCTGCAGTTTATAGGCCAAGACGGGTAACAGATGTACATAAAGTAAGTGAAACGTTTTGTTAGAAAAACACACACACACCGGGTGCCAGATGAACGTGGAACAAAATTAAAAGAACATATTTATAATTTTAGAAAGCTAAATCAATTTTATTCTAAATAAAAAGCGGTAATCTGAAAATCCGTATGATGTAAGTTCAAGAAGAAGCAAAAGCTTTCTTGCTTGTGAAGGATTACATGCCGTTAAAGTTTACTGACAAACTAATATCATCATTTGTTTTGATATTTATATGGCAGCAGAATGTTCAAACAACTGGATTCCCGTTTTATGACTTAAAAGTATCTAGTCCTCAAATGCCCTGGTACAGTCAAGAGTGGGGAGAGTCCGCTCTTCCTTTAGAAACACTCTCACATGGCCACGCGTATACAGCCACTACCAAGGAAGTCCTACTCACTGCTTTCTCGTGGCGGGTGTTTTTGAACTCGAGAGGACGGAAGGCGAACATCCAGCGCTTTAACCGGTTTGGTGAACACGGAGGGTCCACTTAGTGGAGTTGAAAAACGCTGACTTCAAACCAATGGCGCTTATGGGCCCAAAGATCCTAAAGAAACAAATGGCGTATAAAACAATTGTTGGTCATCGGCTGCTATGGGACTGCATCTTTTGACGTTGCCCCACTGCCTTGTAGATTAGACCCTTAAATCAAAGGCTCAGGGAGTGGCCTCCTAAGAAAACCATCTGCTTTACTATGGGTACCTGGGCAGTATAACAACCCTCATACAAATCTATGATAACTGCTACTGGCCTCATTGTTATTGTGTGGCGCATATGCATTTGATGCCCCCTTGTACTAATGTTTATGTGTGCAAATATTCAAAGGTCGTGTATTTGGTCTAATGCAGAGTTTCAATTTTCGCGCAATGTAGGCAGTGTTCAACATTAAAATGAATCAGCCGTTTTTGCTCGCTGGTTTCTAACGATTCTCCAGTGTAAATCAGTGAGTGATAAAAATTTACTTGAAACATTATTACGATTCTCAAATGATCATAGAATGTAATTCGTGATTGGTGAATTATAGTATTTACATTATATCTGTGAATGATAAAATTTTAAATCAACATTTAAGAATACGAATTATTGTATTTTGTTATCACACGACAGGTTTGTTAGCCTATAGCTGTAGATGAAACGATGATAATTACTGTGACATGAAATAATAATTCCTATATTTTAATAACGTCTAAAAATGAAGCACAGCGCTGATGCTCCAGAATCTGATTGGAATACAGAGGGTTCAAAATTTATTTAGGATCGCCATACAATATGTAAATCATAATTCAGCGTGCAGACTTTTGTCTGAATGTCGAGTTGTATTACTCACCATGTATTAACCATTATATAAAAATGGTTAGCCAATCACCCTGATACATATACTTGAAAAACAACAAACTGCCCGTCATATACTGAGGATAGTATTAAACTGCCTTGTTAACAATTATTTGACTGTTTTAAGCAAGCCATAAATGAACAGTACCTGGTAGATAAATCGGTCGTTATGATACATAAGCATACATAGTTGACCGATAAATGGGAAACAATTTGGAGAACATATGGTAAGCCATTGATAATTATTTAAACTCACAATATGTGGCATATATCTGAGCGTTAAATACAGCTGTTTGGGCATACAGAAAAACTAGTTAGGCATATTGTGACAAAAAAGATTTGTTAACTTCGTAAAAAAACATTAGTTGTTTATAGTTAATTGTTTACATCAACATAAAAAAGTAAGTTAGAACACTAGGAAGGTGAGGGTGCACAGCTAATACCAAAGAAGAAAAACACTACACTTTGTTTTCGTAAAAATACGAACTTCTCGAAACTGTTTTGTACCTTTTATGCTCCTGGATTTGGAACAGCCACATAACCTGTACAGATGATAAAAAATGTAAATGACTCTGTGATTATAAAAGTACGGAGAAATTGAATGATCGAAAACGATAGTGATAATGCAGAAGCAACTTGAAGAAAAATAAAAGAGAACGCAGATACGCCAGTGGGTTAATGTAAAAATACGGAGTGAACAGTTGGTGCGTAAAAGATTGAAATAGGTGAGATGACAAGTATCAACGTTAGGATTATATATAGAGGGAGAGAGAGAATATTGAGGGATTACAATAGGAGAGAAACAAAGTTTATTAATAAATTAGAAATTTATTGGAAATGTTATATTGCCAAACAACTAAAGCAGCCATAAACAAGTAACGTCTGAATTTGAGTGGTATATGCATAATAAGTCTGTTATGAAAGCGGCCTGCTTGAACATCTGGGCTACCTGTTCCTGATATCTAGATATTTCAACAAGTTATCTGATTTTGTTTGTTTTAATACATTATTATTAATCGCATAACCTATTCACGTGCGTTTCTGAAAAGTGTGCGAATTTCCGTTATACAAGTTACAAAGGCCCAATCAGAGGTATCGTGGTTCCTGACAATATGTAGCGAAAAGAATGTAAATGATTTACATGTCGATTGACTGGACTGCTAACTTCTAACTGGTGATCACTCAATATTTGTCGTCGGGATCGATCAAGAAGTAAGAAACAGAAACTTGTTGAAATACATTGTGCTGAGAATTCTACATTGTACCAAAAATATAATACTGAATAAAGCTAATAATAATAACAATAATTTACATACACACATATACAAGCAAAGAAAATTACTGGAAAGTAATATGAATATATATGCAGCCCATGATGATGGATGTACTTTAAAAAATAAGACAAGAATGAAAAAGACCTAAAGACTTCCTGTTTATGAGTAGAACTTGATTGCCAGTCAAATAAAAAGTTGATTTAAGCTTCTCAAAAATTGACTTAATACACAAAGTTACTAACGAGGTTGTGTGGAGCCTTTCAAAAATCTGGAAGATACCATAAGTTGTTCAGATATAACCCTAGAAAACGTGTTCCAGTTACTTTGAAGTATTTAGGAATATATTTTAATCTAAGTAGGAAGCAAAATTATCAAAAAATTGAATACATATAATAGTCACAAGCTTGTGAACAGCTACAATTTACTATTGTGAGTGGAGATAATGTTCAGTAATTTATGTTGTCAAGTAGGAATTAACAAGCGCACGATGGTCGTAGTTGATAAAATGAATGAGAAGAATATCAACCGACAGATGAAATGCAATGATAGCTGCTCACAAAACAGAATTATTGATGTGAGCTCCCAATGAAATGATATCAGAAGAAAAGAAAACTAGCCCGCAAAATAGGTATTTTCTTTGGTGAAATTACATGCTTATATACACAACATTAACAGAAAAGGAGACATTATTGCATACCAGAGAGCAGACTGAAGAAAGTCAATCAACTGAATTAGAACCTGGGTGTAGGACTTAATTATTATCCCGCTTATAACTTCTCCCCGATAAAATGATATGGGTTCCTTCAGTCCCAACGCTGGTAAAACCATGATACGTGTGTGTTGTTTCATATAATCCTTCACTTCTCATTGAAATCAGTTTTGTTTTATTAGTCTACGCAGCTGCACTATTAACATTAAATTCAAAATACTTGTTGGTCACTCCTCGGTTATAGATTAACCACAAATAAACCAGTTTACTTTTTCCTCTTGCTTAGGGCAGAAAATGTATCATGTGACTTGAAGTGTAAAGGTAATTTGTACCAAAATTACTTCTGTGCTGCAATTGAAACTGTCAGCGGTTTTTTTTGAGCTTGCTCGATGCCTTGTTGGGGTTGATCAGTTGAACATGCTGCAAACCCAACTGAGGAATTACATTGAGGAAATATATTTAAAGGTTGAAGTCGAATAATTGCCTTAGCTGAATTTGAATCAGAACGTCTTTCAAGAGTCTTTAATGACAATATGAAACTTATGTTAACACTGTAGAGTGTTGATTAAAACACTTAACTAACAACAACGAAATTGAAAGTTAAAAGCATTTCCAGATTCGACAACCTAGAAGTATTGTTAACGCTTAAACAAAATATTGGAGCTAACTAAAGAAACAGATACTTAGATACTAAGTTTCGACAGCTATTTATATTTTATAAATGAGAAGTTATTAGACAAAGGTGGTAGTAAGACACTAACTCATCGTCAGTAAGTTAGCAAGGAAATAATTGACATCATAAACGATATACCGACTGAGAAGTGAATAAAATCATAGTAATGATGATTTTTTTTTAGTGAGTGTTAATTGAGTGTTTACCAAAAAAAGATTACAATATCAAGTTTTATATTATATTACATGTAAGCTAGTTCTTAAATGATAACCGCGATGAAATTCATCTAATTTATATTTCCGCGAAAAAAAATTGTTGCTACCTGATTGATTGGTTTGTTACGTACCCCAAGGTTATTGAATGACAATGCAAAGATAGAGTTGTTCCATCTCAAATTTTACATCTGTACGAAACATAAAGTTACCCTGAAAGTTTTATTCCCTCTATTAGCCTGTGGATAATTAATGTTGAAATGTTGTTGTGTGACAGACGCTCTATTTATTGGAGCACATATTCTTTGATTCGTATTACAAAGATCCTCAATTATTCATAAACCGAATATGCTGTAGGACAACCAAAAATGTGTCGTTATTAATACTGCAAATACAAATAAGACGACAACTAACTGTCAAACATATTCACATTATTTCTAATTGACTTTCTAACTCTATTTGTTTTCCAAATGTTATTATTATTTCCTATAGAACATAGAATGTTTTATTTCACAGAATGATGAATTTATCTAATGTAATCCTCTTAAACTAATATACAAATGAATAGTATATTTTAAGGAACAATAACATTTAGAACATACGTGATTCAGTATCTAAACACATATTATTATGTGAGTTTTGTTCATTAACTAAAAGAATATATAATCATATTTCAAAATTCATATAAATGAAATAAAACCGAGAGTTAAATATACACAGTGATACGAATTAAACTATGTAAGCGATGTATTTTATATTACATAGTAAATTCAATTGCAGAACAAGAAAAAAGCATTATAATAAGTCAGTTGATTAGAATTTATTAGTACGCACTCAATACTTTATACATAAGGAACATATTAGTGTTATTAACCTATTTACAAGATACTATATTAGTGCATTTGGCTCTTGTTGCTACAAAATTAACCAAGATGAAGTAGATGGAGAGGGTTTTGAACCTGAGCTAGAATGACTAGAAAATGTTGGATCGATTGCATGTCTGTCGTGTGTGTCGATTTACAACTATTAATTAACTTAGCTGGACAAATTTTTTTCTGGCTTGAAAATGTAAACATAAGCGTAATTGATACCTAGATATGTTGATATACATAAGTACTAACAATTTCATCAGTAAAAGGACTTTTAAATGACAATTAAACTGCACTGGATAAAAAAAGAAGAAAAAAATGTGTGAGCAAAAGTGAAAAGTGAGAAACCAACACAATCATGGTCGACATTACCAAATCTTTTAGTATGTTCAACCCACTCCCCCTTTTCCTCTACAAATATAACGTATATTGAACAAAAATCATAGTTTTAGGAAAAAACAATCATGTTGGAAAAGTGATTAGATTAAAATGAAAATCAATGACAATGACAGTTAGTTAAAATAGTAAGACAGTATAACAGGAATAACGAAAAACAACATTCACAGACATGTTAATATGTCTATACTGGACACATGTATAACAAACATTGATATACATTTATGTAAAGCAAATAAAAGACGGGACATTCCCGAATCGAATATGACAGCATGCAAAACAAAACAGTTTGTATTACTACATATCAAAAAAGGGGAAATAGAGAAGAGAAATAAATGACTCATTCATACCTTTATGTTTACGAGATTTGTTTCGGGGTTTCCTTTATTGAAAATAGGAATAATAGTGATTAAAATAACGATCGTAATGGTAATAACATTAATAGTATTGATAAAAAATATTGAAGAATTGTCAATTTGCAACATGTACACATACGAATGTGTATTATATATATATATATATATATATTGATGATTTAATATGCGTATAAGTATTACCTTAACTTTAATTAGATAATGGTTAATAATACAAAGACTAAGTCAAAAATAAGCATGATAATATCAGAAATAATGAATAACTGACTTCATCACTGCATTCATAACATGCATACACACACACATATACGCACTGAACCGATGGTATTGACTAAATTGGTAAATAAAGTATAAACGTTAGTAAACAAGTAACTACAGATAGACAGACAAATGAACAGAGAATAAAGATCAATAAATTTTTAGCATGTTATTTAAAAAAATTCATTCGCTGAGATTTTACAGATATATTATTCCTATTTAATGTCTTACTTCAACTCGGCGCTCAAATACTGTGAAACTATTCGTTCTAATTTAGACGAGAGTTCTTATATGTTATATTTAATGTTAAAATATTATTAAATTCCGCTGAATTGTTATTTTGAGGTTAGCTGATAATAATCCCTAACGTGACATATAGACATGTGATGTAGTCGTAATAATTGCGTAATTGATACGATATCCAATTACAACTATAAACGTTAAGTTTAAGACACAACAGGTTTATTTATTTATAACACTAAATTGAATAGCTTTCAGAAACTCGTTGAAACATGGAAGTTGTGATGGGCCGACACGTCAATTCTAAAGTTATTTTACATATCGATTTCCATGTCACAAAATGCTCACACCTATTCATATTCATGTTCCTCTTATTATAAGCTTTTATTTGACCTATCGGCTACTGTTATACAATTTGCCATACTTGCCTTATTCCCAATTTATTAGCTACAGTCTCCTAAACTCACAGACGCTTTTGGCTTAATCTTGTATAATTATTATTTTGCATTTTATGGTGTGATGCAGTCTAGTTTGCTTGCATACAAACCACGTATGTGTGAAATATACGATTCATAGAGTAAAGGCTGAGATTGTGTGCTGCGCCATAAATACAAACACTGATCACAAAGCAACCAAATCATTGTACTCAATGTAGAAATTTTTTGCTCCAGGTAGTAAAGTAGACTTTACCCGAAGGAGATATAATATTTATGGTGTCAAATAAACAAAAGCTCCAATACAAATTCTTTAAAGGCTATCAACAATAAATTAGTACCATTGATGAGATATTAAATAACACTTAAGTACTATTATTATATATTCGTGTTATAAATGTCAACAAAGAAAACCTATGGACAAAATATATGAACAATATGAATAAAGAACAATGTTGCACAGCTGTGCTGTTGGCAGAAATAGATTTAAGAAACACTGGAAGAAATAATGACAAGGAGAATAACAACAGCAACAACAAAATAAATAACTACGCCAAGATTATTCATTCATTTTTACTCTAATATATTTGTAGTATTCAATATTAAACCTTTTCACATTGAAATGAAAATGGTTTTTGTTAAAAAAATGACTTCAGATAATCAAAACTCCTAGCGGTGAATAAGAAAATCAAACAAACGTAATTCCCGAATTTTCTTTCTTTTCTCCTACACACATTCTTTTTGTCCCTGTCTCTTACTTTTCTGAAAGATGAAAAGTTCATTCCAACTGATAGAAGATATACATATTTTGTCAGTCTGATTGTTAAGTCAGTAATCGGTATATGGGATAGATTAAAAAAAGACAAAACTATTTGAAAGATATTTTAACAAAATTAATATGCAGTGCTGAAAGTACTTACTATAAAAGAAAATATCTGTCAGCACCATATTTAATTTGTGACATATGTACTCCGTTCGAACCCTAACCCCACCTTACACCGCCTATAATACTGTTAGTTTATTGAAACAGTAAAACATAAAATGTTGCTCGCCAAGGCCTCAAAACCTAACGACTAAAGTTTGAAAAGCAAGATAAACCTACTACAAATACAGATCAGTGGTTTATGCTGTAACATCATAGTGAAATAAAGATATACCAGTAATAAAAAAGATGAAAATATCACGAAGAAAATATCAGAAGAAAGAAACAAAAGAAATTAAAGAATAAAAACAAGGAACAAAGCTCAAGATTTAAATGAAGATAAATAATGGATGAAATCGGTAGCAATTTTTAGCCAGGTTATCTGTATTCTCCAGTTACAGATTATAATCGTTTGAAATGGTGTGGGTGCATTCACTAGTTACCTTCCTTCAAGTTCTACGCTCCTGAATTCTTCATAATTTATTTTGTTTCGCTAATTTATATTTTCTCGAATCGTACCTTAACTCCGCCTGTAGCTCCTCCAGGGGCTACTGCCGGTCCCAAGCCCATACAAAGGAGGAGGGTTGGGCATGGGGTTAGCGACCCCATCTCGTAGAAAATCAACTCGCTAAAAAAACGCTAACCAGAAAAAATCATTCAAACCATTCAAACTCTGCCCTGGGAGTAGAAGGAAAAATGACGTCTCATGATGAAAGCCGAGTTCATTCGGAAGTCATGAGGCCGATGCACCTTCTTACAACCAGAGCGACAATTTTTATAGGTACATGGAATGTCCGGACAATGTGGGAGACCGGCAGAGAATTCCAAATTTCTGCGGAAATGAGGAAATACAACCTGGAAGTGCTTGGAATCAGTGAAACACATTGGACGCAGGTTGGACAACAACGACTGTCTTCAGGAGAACTTCTGTTATACTCCGGTCATGAAGAAGAAAATGCCCCACATACACAAGGAGTGGCACTGATGCTGTCTAGAAAAGCACAAAATGCACTTATAGGATGGGAATCTCATGGACCGAGGATCATCAAAGCCTCCTTCAGAACAAAGAGAGAGGGCATTACAATGAACATCATCCAATGCTATGCGCCCACTAACGAATACGATGAAGAAGCTAATAACCAATTCTACGATAGGCTGCAGTCAATCTTCGAGAAGTGCCCAACCAAGGACCTGACCATTCTAATGGGAGATTTCAATGCCAAGGTTGGAAAGGACAACACTGGATACGAAGACGTCATGGGACAATATGGACTGGGAGGAAGGAACGAAAACGGTGAGAGATTTGCAAACCTATGTGCCTTCAATAAACTGGTCATAGGTGGCACCATATTCCCACACAAAAACATACAAAAAGCCACTTGGATTTCACCAGATCACACTACGCAAAATCAAATCGACAATATCTGCATCAACAAAAAGTTCAGGAGGACGATGGAGGATGTGAGAACCAGAAGAGGAGCTGATATAGCATCCGATCACCATTTGCTGGTCGCCAAGATGAAACTAAAACTCAAGAAGCACTGGACAGCGGTGCGGACAACATCACAAAAGTTTAACACGGCCTTTCTTCGAGATGCTGACAAACACAACGAATTTAACATAGCCCTCAGCAACAGGTTCGAGGCCTTTCATGACCTACTCAATGGAGAAGGAACCACCATAGAGAGCAAATGGAAAGGTATCAAGGAGGCAATCGTTTCAACATGTCAGGAGGTTCTGGGCCAAAAGAAGCACCATCACAAGGAATGGATCACTGTTGGCACATTGGATAAAATTGAAGAAAGGAGGAACAAGAAGGTAGCAATCAATATCAGCCGAACAAGAGCAGAAAAAGCCAAGGCACAAGCCGAATACACAGAGGCAAACAAGCAAGTGAAGAGGAGCATCAGGACCGACAAACGTAAATATGTGGAAGATTTAGCGATGACAGCGGAAAAGGCTGCAAGAGAGGGAAACATGAGACAACTGTATGATACAACAAAGAAACTTGCTGGAAATCACCGTCAACCAGAAAGACCAGTGAAAAACAAGGAAGGCAAAGTAATCAACGATATTGAAGAACAACGAAACAGGTGGGTAGAACACTTCAAAGAACTCTTGAATCGACCAGCTCCACTGAACCCACCCAACATCGAAGCAGCACCCACAGACCTCCCAATCGATATTGGCCCACCAACAATTGAAGAGATCAGCATGGCCATTAGACAAGTCAAGAGTGGCAAAGCAGCGGGACCAGACAACATCCCGGCAGAGGCACTGAAAGCAAATGCAACAGTACCTGCCAAGATACTCCACATCCTCTTCGGTAAGATTTGGGACGAAGAACATGTACCAACAGACTGGAAAGAAGGACTTCTCATCAAGATACCAAAGAACGGCGATCTGAGCAAGTGCGACAACTACACGGGCATCACTCTCCTCTCAATACCAGGAAAAGTCTTCAACAGAGTATTGTTAAACAGGATGAAGGATTCCGTGGACGCTCAACTTCGAGATCAACAAGCTGGATTTCGTAAGGATAGATCGTGCACAGATCAAATCGCAACTCTACGTATCAATGTGGAACAATCAATCGAATGGAATTCATCACTGTACATCAACTTCATCGACTATGAGAAGGCATTTGATAGCGTGAACAGGACGACACTATGGAAGCTTCTTCGACACTACGGCGTGCCTGAGAAGATAGTCAACATCATACGGAACTCCTATGATGGACTAAACTGCCAAATCGTCCACGGAGGACAACTCACCGACTCGTTCGAGGTAAAGACCGGTGTTAGGCAAGGTTGCCTACTCTCACCCTTTCTCTTTCTCCTGGTGATCGACTGGATCATGAAGACGTCAACATCTGGAGGAATGCACGGGATACAGTGGACAGACAGGACGCAACTTGACGATCTAGACTTCGCGGATGATCTGGCTCTTCTATCACACACGCAACAACAAATGCAGGAGAAAACGACCAGTGTAGCAGCAGCCTCAGCAGCAGTAGGTCTCAATATAAACAAAGGGAAAAGCAAAACTCTCCGATACAACACAATATGCACCAATCAAATTACACTTGACGGAGAAGCTTTGGAGGATGTGGAAACCTTTACATATCTGGGCAGCATCATTGATGAACACGGTGGATCAGATGCAGATGTGAGGGCGAGGATCGGCAAAGCAAAAGCAGCATACCTACAGCTGAAAAACATCTGGAGCTCAAAACAATTGTCAACCAACACCAAGGTTAGAATTTTCAATACAAATGTCAAGACAGTTCTTCTGTATGGGGCAGAGACGTGGAGAACTACGAAAGCCATTATCCAGAAGATACAAGTGTTTATTAACAGCTGTCTACGCAAGATACTTCGGATCCGATGGCCAGACACTATCAGCAACAAGTTACTGTGGGAGACAAAAAACCAGATTCCAGCGGAGGAAGAAATCAGGAAGAAGCGCTGGAAGTGGATTGGGCACACTTTGAGGAAATCACCCAATTGTGTCACAAGACAAGCCCTCACATGGAATCCTGAAGGTCAACGGAAAAGAGGAAGACCAAAGAACACATTACGCCGAGAAATAGAGACAGACATGAGAAGAATGAACAAGAACTGGAAAGAATTAAAAAAGAAGGCCCAGGACAGAGTGGGTTGGAGAAAGCTGGTCGGCGGCCTATGCTCCATTGGGAGTAACAGGCGAAAGTAAGTAAGTAAGTAAGAATCGTACCTTCGATGTGTGATCATATTTATTATTACTGATACTGTTACTACCTCAATTGTTCTGGGATTTCTCATAACAATTTAGTTTAGCTGTACTGATGAGTTATGGCAGTTTGAACTGATGTAAATACATACCGAGTTGTATGTTGAGACTGACTGACTATATTTTTTGTGTATTCCCAGTTGATGAGTTTCTAAATAACTAGTTGAATAAACAAAGGATTACACCTAAAGGCAACAAGAACGGAGACAGTGTCAGCCTTAAAGGACATTAATTAACGTAGGTGATTAAGATGAAAGTTAACGACAACTTGCGATCTAAATATGAACGTCCCAATACAGGGCCTTTAGTAGGATCATTTATACACTGCAGAACATCTTCAAATAACAGTCTAACAGAAAATAATCAATGAATTTAAACTAGGAACAATTATTTTAAATATTGGAAATCAAAAAATTCATCAAAATATTGAAAAACTAAACATTAATTAAAAATATACTGATATATCATTTTATTTCTCTGTAAGTCCCCGTAAATTGTAGCTCTAGCGAGGTACAAGTTGCTCGACTATGATACATCATCGTAAATGTAATCCGAAAAGAGGCATATAAATTATCACTAATGGCTTTCTATATATTAAAAACAAAAAAAGGAACTAACGATCCAATGAACTTGATATAAAGGCATGAATATTATATGAAAAAAGTAATTACAACCATTCATGAAATTATAGTCTATAAAGTAGCACAATAGGGAAATACAACTTATTACAATGTATGAAATTAGCACATAAACTAATACACTTTTTATCAGTTATATATGCCACTTTTATCATTCTGACCATCAATCTATTCAAGAGACATTATATATATATATATATATATATATATATATATATATATATATATATATATATATATATATATATGTATAACTGTATTAATATTAAATATGACATAGATAAGATATATTCAGTAACTTACTGTGAATTGTCCTGATAATCTGTTGGTGGTCTCATATAGAAGCCATGATATGATATGTAATCCCTGAAATCAAATAAATAGATTGAAAAAAACAATGAGAATAATGTTTATGGTAAATATTTGTAATTATAGAAACAATTTATTGAAACGATGATGAACAAATAAAAATGGGAGTGAATTAAATAAAAAAAATTTAACTATCATTTGCTTTCTCTCTATTTCTCAACATTATTGTTTATCTATAAAATGATTGTTTTTAAAAATTTACAAAATATAACGTTGAAGAAGATATATACATATTTAAATATATATCAGTATAATTTTCATTTTGCAAATTTTAATAGACACGTGTTTAACGAAAACTGATATTAAACAAGTGCATAGTTGTATAAATACCCATATGATTAACCTAACTGAAAGACAATGAACTTGTTATAGTACATATGATACATAAATTGAACAAAAAGAGCGTTGATAAAGATATATCACAAATTTATCTAGTAGCTATGTGCACAACGTTTATAAAAAATAAATCTACAATACTATTATATATATAAACTGAAATGATGATGACTAGTGGTGGAATCCAGGACGCGCGTTTTGTCTTATTTGTGATTCAGCAGCCGGATGTACCTGTATCTCAGAGTTGATGTTTACACCATGACTCGAAGATTCGAACAACCAATACAAAAAAGAATTATTAGATAGGTGTTTTTTTCAAAATCTACCTAATTAATAAAACTGGTTTCGTTTTTGTACTGATAAAGTCAGTTTTCCATTTGACGAATAATACAACGAAATAGCTTAAAGATAATCATCAATAAATATTGTCAAATGGAAGCAGAAAACACAGGGATACTTTTTATATTCCTTAATTAAGTGAGAAGAGAGGAGAGTTGAATTCATCATAAACAAATATTACAATGTAGAGTGATTTGTGACATCGATTAGTCCCATATGATTAGTTACAAGTGTAATTCATTTTTAGTAATTGTTTGCTGAGAACATGAATTTTGTTTATTAACTACTGTACTCCAAGAATTTCGTGCAAAACAATGCTACTACCAGGTATAGGTTAATGTGCTCAGTGACCCCTAACGCCCTGGTATGGTTGAGAGTGGGGAGAGTCTGCTCTCCCTCTCCAAATGCTCTCATATGGCCACGCGTATATAGCCTGTCAGGGAAATCCTACTCACTGCCTTCTCGTGGCGGGGGTGTTGTTCACAAATGTGAGAGGAAGAAAAGCGAATGTCCGGCGCTTTAACCGGGTTAGTGGATGTGGAGGATCCACCTAGGGGAGTTGGAAAACCCTGATTCCAAACCAATGGTGCACATGGGCTCCAGTATCCTGAAGGAACGAATGGCGTATGAACCAACTGTCGGTCACCGGCTACCATGGGACCGCATCTCCTTACGATGCTCCACTACCTTGTGGACTAGACCTTTAGGTCAAAGGCTCCGGGTGTGGCCCCCTAAGAAAACCACCTGCTTCAGTCTGGGCACCTGGGCAGTATCACTGCCCTCACACAAATCGAATATGATTTATGAGGCGCATATTTATTTGGTGCTTCCTTGTACCAATATTTATGTATTTAAAAAAATATTAATAATAAATGCACTCAGTTAAGAAAGATACTCTAAATGTAAAATCTATTTGGCTTAATTAAAATAGATGGGACATGATTCAAATCTAGGATTTAGTATCTGGATAATAAATGCTTTAACTAAAGAGACATTGCTCCACTAATTCCATCCTCTTTATGTATTCGTATAGTAATCAATACAACTACGTTAGTGTGCAATTTACAGTAGAAACAATCTTATATAATATAAATGTAACTGAAAATATGAAAGTACCAGATAGATTTAGTGACATCCTACACTGGTAGCTCGTGTAAATAAAAAAGTATAGGTCAAGTCAAAATTAATAACTTGAAATCTGTACACATAGATGCAAATCTATACTCTCATATCGACTCATGACTCTGCCAACCTTAAGGTCAAATAATGAATGAAATATCAAGTGAAATTTAGAAACAACTTATCACCTTCTTGATGCATCTATTTATTTACACGAGAAACTATGAGATAAACAATGAAACATTGCAACTACATTTAAAAAATATTTTAAGTAAAATAGATGTATAGACATTTTAGAAAGTGAATAACTTTTCTTTTGTTGTGCTTAATGAGTCACTCCATCTGTAACATAATGATATAAATTGATCATTACTTATTAACTAGATGACTGTGCCGAATCAGCTATAATCATTGCACTGTTTGGAATACCCTATTTCAGTATGCCAAGCTGAAGAAACTAAACCATTCAAATAATTTTCATTTATTATTTACTCAATAATCAATAACATAAACACTACTACTTAAACTGACAATCTCGACACTACTAAATGTCAAAAAAAGCGAATATTATTGTTGTTTAAATACACTCGAGTGTCAAAGAAAAATATGATGTATGACTTTTGCTTGCTTCATTTCTTTAATGCTATTTAGTTTATTTTAATATAAATAGCTAATTAGTAGTTTAATTATCATAATGTAAATTAGACAATATGATCAGATGAAAAAATCATTACATAAAAATATGTAGGAGAAAGATACACATATTTATTTATACATAATAAATGAACAACAACTAGACATAATACATTGTTTATGCTAATGAAAAATTGTAATGCTTTGACCCTGACAGTGGTATTTAGTAAATACATACTTGTGAGAATTTTTTTAAAAAAAACTAAAAGAAAGCAAAAGCAAAGATTGGTGAGGAATAATATGAATTCATCTTATCTCATTAGGTTCTCATCAGCTACTTACAACCTATAATATTTTAAAATCAGATATTTACATACTTATAAGTACGAAGGTGATTAGAGATGAATAAATGTATCATGATGTAGAGAAGATTCCAATGGAGTTAATAAGGTTATGAGAATTTTTTGTTTCAGACAAATAAATAAAGTTTGGGAGGAAAAGTTCTGGAACATTGAACTAGTAATCAGAACTCATAGAGTTAATCTACATTCAGTTACTTCAATACGCAATCACCTAATATCTGTTAACTCTATGAGTTCTGATTACTAGTTCAATGTTCCAGAACTTTTCCTCCCAAACTTTATTTATTTGTCTGAAACAAAAAATTCTCATAACCTTATTAACTCCATTGGAATCCTCGCTACATTGTGATACGCTTATTCATATCTAATCACTTCGTACTTATATATAAATATCTGATTTGAAATATTATAGGTTGTAAGTAGCTGATGAGAACCTAATGAGATAAGATGAATTCATATTATTCTGCACCAGTTTTTGTTTTTGCTGTCTTCAAAACAATGAAAGGAACTGTGTATGAAAAAACTGTAATATGATAGAAATACAATTATGTGGTGGAAAACATAGATCTACACATAGGTATACACTCACGGTTCTTCGTAATCGCGACTATATTTCTCTGTTTTGCGATATAAACCAGCCAGTTTAACAGCGAAAATAATAGCGGGAATGAAAAGAAGTAGTGTAAATCCTAATCCAGTCCAAAATGCGTTCTGAAGAATCAAAGATAATAAAACAAATATGTATTTCCTGTAAAAAAAGACTTACACATAAGGTAGTAACTGTTGAAGGAATTCTAAAAAAACATACATTATTGTGATATTGGAATTATTAGACTAATTAAACTAATATGATCGATGGAAATCAACCAAAATAAGAAGTGGACTAATCTGACAGTAGTTAGACAACAATGTTTTTATTTATCGAGACGGTCATGACCCTAATTATTAGGGTAGTAAGTCTCAGTGATAGTCAAGGCAATATAAATACATATATCAGCAATAATAAACACTGAAATCTATACACTTATTAGATAAATAGGGTAACAATACAAACAATCACTTTGAAATACACAGATAAATGTACACTTACAAATGGCATTAAAAATGTATAACAAACTGAATCAACTCCACGTTTTGCAGCTAAGCGTAGTGACTGACACGGAATATCATGCCAAGTGGCTATAACAGCCAATTGTAATTCTTTAGTTAAAAGTGGACGAAGTTTGTTAACTCCACGATTCATAGACTGGAAAAAAAGACGTTTTTTTTTATAAAAATAAGTACATGGACAATTAACAAATTAGTAGTAATCTAAATAATATAAACTAGAATACTAAAACAATGAGAATGGCAAAATTATTTCGATACATTTGTTTGTCTTGCTTTCTAGTTCTCTATAAGATACAGTCAATCTGTAAATGTTAACATTGATTGGTACCAAATGGGAAAAATTATAAAATGTAAGGTATTATATAAATATCATGGTTGACTGACTGATATGAGCAAAACAAAAACACTGACAAAATGTAATAAATGGAACAATTGTAAACCAGTGTGTAAATAATATTTGATTGTTAAGATCTATACAAAAAAAGTTAGTTGAGCATAATAATGATGATCATAATCATTTTCTTATAGAAATTTTACAAAAATAATATACAGACCAAATCGACTTATATAATGCAAAGGAATTGGATGAATAATGCATAGTGACACACTAATCAAGGTCGTATCTTGCCATAAATTAATAGTATTGTGGTGTATGCTACTGATATCGACTGATATGAGTAGTAGGTATTATCAATCGAAAGTGAAATACCTGGAGGCAGATGGTTATAAAGATCGAAGAAAAGAGAACGAGAACAGAGAATGATTGCCGTGGACATGAAGGAGCAGTGAAGTCTGAGATGATTGATTGACATTTTGCAAATGAAGTATTTACTGTATGGTTCTCAAATTTTATTAAGACATTCTGTAATTTTGTATTGAAATACATTTGGTTGTCCCCGCTTGTGTTCTTGTTCACTACAGTATATATATATATATTTCTTTACCTGAACTATTGGAAAATTGAGAACAAACATTTTCCATTACACACCAGTAATTAAACAATGGTTATTTGTTCAAAATCGATTACATGCTTACATCTAATTCAACCTATTTGTGTATAAACACTTTTTATGTTTTATCTATAACATACTTTGAGAACAACAATAAATAAAAAAATTCAAAATAGACTCAATGACATATTTCCACAAGTGACCGCATCTGAATGACAACGATTATGTATGTAGAAGTGAACGAGTTGATATCTGTCCATAATGAAAAATCGAACAAAATAGTTTCAACTAAAATGAAAAAAATATCTACCTTCAAAGTGTACACATGAAGAAAATGTAATCGTATAAATAGATGGTTAAAAAACGTTAGACACAATTCGGAATAAACTTTCTAAAAAAAAGTTATCCCTCAATTAATTTAGACATTAAACTGTTAGTGTAGGTGGATTATCTTTGAATCGATTAAAAAACATGTCATAATAAACTAATTTTCACTTGCATAATAACAATGTTCTAAATTTGCTTACAACTAATCCTTTCCTTCTTTAATACTAGCTAATTCGCACTGACTGATAATCTATCCCTAACTATTACTGACCCATCGAGAAAACTAACAGAGAGTGTTTAGATATAGTACACAAACTAACTTTTGTGCTTCTAAATATCGTTTTAATCACATAACATAAAATTCCCAATCAAGATAAATACTACCGTTGTAGTGAACAGAACACGGGTTGGGGACAATCGAATGTATTTAAGCAAAGATTACAGACTATCTCAAGAAATTCTGATTACCAAACAATGAACAGCCAATTTGCAAATTAACAACCAATTGTTACAATCTTCACTGTTTCTTCTCTTATTCCATTGCTCATGCATTTTCCAGACGTTTGCGTTTCATTTCAGTTCTTTCTTCATCGGTCTTCTGCCAAAATACATTCTATGTCTGACCCACACCATATACTACTTATATGGATATAAGTAGACCACACCACACCGTGACCACATGGTGTGTTCTATAGCACAGAAAATATTATTTGAATAAGTGATTTCATACCATAGTACTTTCTTGATGTTAAAATTGCACACCTCAATCTTTGACTGAGTCAACCAATAAATCCACGAGACACACTATTCAGTTAGCGTTGTTCGAACAGTAAGTAGAATTGTTTTTCTTCAAGTCAATGTGACTACTAAGTCAAACAAGTATGCTTTTTTTCATAATATTTATTGGTACGAATATTTTTGTAAAAATAATAGTTAGATAAAACATGAATAAGTAAATAACTAAAAATTAAAAGGAAAAATGTTTGTGTGCATAAATTACACTTACGGACTGGACAGAAGTAGATAACGTTTGATTGTATTTATTAAGATTGATAACTGCGTGATTCATTTGATCCGGTATACTATTGAATCGCATAAACAAGGTGTAAATGTTACCACGAGTGGCATCTAATTTCACAGGTCCATTCACAAGAGCTTGAATATGTGGAGTTAAAGAGTTCTGTATATTTTGAAAGAAAAAAGTAGAGGCTTATTAGTAAAACAATAAAAGATACATAAAATCTAGGCAAAATAAAACAAAAAATCATGGACAAAATATTTAATCACAACTAACTTTCAAAACAGAATGAATGAATTATTTTACCGAAATGAGACAATAGGCAGTGCAATTTATGCTGCCGACCAAAGTTCTGACAGATATTGGTAAAATGTGAAGAAATTACGTTAGGCCAAGTAGTTTTTCAATAGACCTAAAGACAAAATTTGTCACCGATTGATACCAATTTGAAGATTATTTAGAATTTAACAGTCTTTTAATTAACTAATTCCAGTTTATCACAGCCTCAACAAAATATGCAGACGAAACGACTGTGTATACGAGAGGAATGATAATAGGTTGAACAAAATAGTAGGTTTACGGCACTAAAGTGTGGTGGCATACAAAGAATGAGTACAAGTAAAAATACTTTAACATATTAAAATTGATAACATTGAGCTGCTTAAGAAATACTACACCATTGTTTTAATGAATAACACTTCTTATAGTAGTAAATAAACCAAAAATAAAATAAAAACTACCTATCTGTAATTAATTTCACTAGAAATCCAAACTGTAATAATAATTAGTCAGTTATGATCTACGAACAGTCTAGTACAAATGTGTGTGAGCTCATGTTTTCCTTTAGAATAGTACGACAAAATTGAGAAGATAAATGGAATATAAGGCTAAACAGGGAATACTGTTCGGAAGGTAGGAATGAATTCGAGAAATAAAAGGCCCGAAATAATATAGAAAATCAAGATTTGAGGAACGATAATGAACGTAACTGCTTTATTGTAACTGATCCTGAACCATGTTACCCATTATCTACAGCCACTGATCGAGTTTACAATCGGATCTTACTTAGGAAATCTGTGTTTACAAATACGACTTGGCCCAAAAGACGATAACTACACGGGACCGATGCTGTTTTTACTTCGGCTGCTCCTAGTTTTCTTAAAATGTCCTAATACTTCAGACAATAATGAGCAAACGTGGATGTAACACGTGTTTCAACTAACTCAGTCAACAACAATTCACATCATGACCAACACTTTTGTCACTCTTGATCAGTAATCTAGCAGCAACAACCGTGCGAGAGTAATGACTTGAAAAATAACTAAAATAACAATGGCCTACATAAGGAACCTAATTTGAATGTTCAATATGTCATATGTATTCAAAGTCAATAGATAAATCTCCGGGTAAGAGATCAGTCCCTGAGTCGTCATATGAGAACATTATCTCTGAAATAACGTTTATGTAATGTTAACACATGAACAAGAACCTTGAGACCCCAAATGCCCTGGTACTGCCGAGAGTGGGGAGAGTTTGCTCTCCCTCTCCAAATGCTCTCATATGGCCACGCGTATATAGCCACTGCCAGGGAAGTCCTACTCACTGCCTTCTCGTGGCGGGGGTGTTGTTCACAAAAGTGAGAGGATGAAAAGCGAATGTCCGGCGTTTTAACCGGGTTGGTGGATGTGGAGGATCCACCTAGGGGAGTTGGAAAACCCTGATTCCAAACCAATGGTGCACATGGGCTCCAGTATCCTGAAGGAACGAATGGCGTATGAACCAACTGTCGGTCACCGGCTACCATGGGACCGCATCTCCTTACGATGCTCCACTACCTTGTGGACTAGACCTTTAGGTCAAAGGCTCCGGGTGTGGCCCCCTAAGAAAACCACCTGCTTCAGTCTGGGCACCTGGGCAGTATCACTGCCCTCACACAAATCGAATGAGATTTGTGAGGCGCATATTTATCTGGTGCTTCCTTGTACCAATATTTATGTATTTAAAAAATATTAATAATAAATGCACTCAGTTAAGAAAGATACTCTAAATGTAAAATCTATTTGGCTTAATTAAAATAGATGGGACATGATTCAAATCTAGGATTTAGTATCTGCATATGTTATGTCTCGTATAACAATCGTTATTGTATATTTATCTGGTGCTTCCTTGTACCAATATTTATGTGTTTAAATAAATAAATAAATAAATAAGAACCTTGTTACATCGATGCAAAATAACTGAGAAAGTACAACATTTAAGAACTAATAACAAACGTATGTATGAGATCGACGTTACATATTCTATCATATAGTGGAAGAATTTATATTCAGTCATTTAATATGGAATTCTTCAAAATCCATAAAATCAGGTTATTTCTTAAGATGTAAACTGTTGGATCTGCAATCATGCAGTAATTGAGGTGAATATAAATCAATTATTTGAGAGTTTTATATTTACTGATGTTGTTGTCCTTTTTCCACTCCCTAAAGATAAAGATATTGTAAACCAATAGACCAATTTGTTAGAATGTATAGAAACTTAATTTGTAGTAAACGTCATAAACACTTGTCGATAGCCAATTAAATTAGCATGTTCATGCGTGATTCTTATCTACAATTGATATTTACACGTGTATAAAGCCATTCTGAAGCAAACAACTATCAGTAATTTATTTGTCTTTGTTTCTTGAATCTTCCCATTGATGTTTAAGACTGTGTTATAACTTGTTGGTCGAGTGGATGCCCTGTTAATGTATGACGTGAAAAGATCGCCAATCAGAGAGCAGCAAATTATCGATCGGACGAATGACACACGAAACCCGTACGAGCAGTCTAGAGTACGTATCGGTCCTGCTTCTGCCTAGCCCAGTCAGTTAAATCCAGAACACCAATAACAGCATCTGTGGTATGAATCCTTGTATTTCAAACATACTGAGTTTATATACCAAACAGACTGACCACATCGTACCAATAAAATAGAAAATAACACTTGTACAAGATCTAGCCAAATGCGGGAGACAGCAATTAGTAGACTGGAGATAACTTAAGAATGGTAAATCGTAGAATAATAGTTTATAGTTCAAAATAAAGCTCATGATAAAGGGAACATGAATACGGATAGTTTAGCTATTTAGCAATTATACGATAAAAAATATATGCATAATACTGGTCCATAAATGGATCCCAACGTTACCATTCACTATTGTTATCGGGACATGACAGACTGAAATCGATCTGTTTATTTTCTTCAAGAGAACGGTACTGGGTTTGATTCCCAGACAGAACATTAACTCTTGCATGCAGGTACATTCGGCTAGTGAACCCCAAACAAGAAGAAACGCGCGACCTTGATTCCACTGATAGCCATTATTTATCCCTACTTACAATTATCAGTAATGTTATATTTCGTATCTTCACAGTATTTTATGAAATATCTTTCAGTATAAAAGAATTCATGATCGTAAAAGTTTACAGTAACATGACTCTGAAAACGACAATAACAAGCGGGTAATCCACCAAATTTAATCACAAGTCTATCTACCATAAGCTTTTATCCTGAAAAGGCTATCCAAATTTTGAACAAAAGCTTTAGAGATTAAAATTTCTTCTCTACAATCTCAACTTCAGTGTTTTTCCCGTCATAATATGGTTACTTTATGTGCTATTCTCATTTTTCACAAGATTATTGATGATTTCTAAACTTAATTCCATCTTTTTCAAAGCCATTTTGACCCCATTTATGTACACAAAATGCATGTTCAGGTAATCTTGAAAAAATTAGAAGTCAATCAAAATTGGGCTATTCTTTTATAGCTTAAGTTAGGACTAAGGATGCCAAAAGAATCAAAGCTACAAGTGTTTACCTGAATTACCAAGCTATAATACATTCATAGCGTTATATCTTATTGTATAGTTATTAAGTAACTAGATTATTATAGATCGATGTGTATTCCTTTTATCATCAGCTGTCGATTAACCCATTAACCACTGTTGTGTGATTTACTATTGTGATTCTGCTATCAATTTATTATCCAGTATTCCCGATTCACACACTCTTTTTGGATTCATCATGTAAAATTTTTATTTCTTATTTTATGGTGTGACGTGATTGGGTATGTACTTACATAAACTACATATGACTGAAAGATAATATTCATACAGTGGAGGCCCATTCCTGTTTACTGGACTCAGCGGAAAGCACAAGGTGAGAAACTACTGTGCAGAGGACCAATAAGGATTTAAAGTTGATCCAAGGTTATTAGTGCTGAAACGAATTCCATTGGTGTTTCGTTATATGATATTAGTGAGTGACTATAAGTCATAATACAGCATCACGATACAAAAAGACACTGCAATTAGAATTTTCTACATAATTGAGAATACCTAGTTATTAATACCACATTCACATGGAAAACATAAAAGAATTATATACATATGAACAAGACTCACCATATTTAAAGCCTTCAATCTAGACACAAATTCATCGAGATTGTCAATAAAAGTTAGTGGATTATTGACCTATTGTACAAATATAAACATATATTGTGAAGAAAACCATGATTGTGAGTTTTTTTGTATTTTTAAATGAAAGGTAGCAGATTAGTAGAACATAAGCTAAGTTGACAATGAAAACTGGATTACTTGCAAATTAAAAGTTACTAGTATGAGGATTTGTGGAGATTGTAGTATTTTAACAGTTGAATTCGTGAGTCAATCTAAGTTAGACAAACACTGAAATGTGGAAGAACTGGACGACCATTTTGTTCTAGTAAAGGACTCCTCAACAGTCCAGCGCTTCAAGGTTTTCATTGGTGATCTAGCTTAGATTGACTCGTGAATTCAACTGTTAAAATGAAAAACTGTATTAGGTTTGTTACATTGAACTCAATAATCCATAGGTCAATATCCTATTAAATACATGTGATATTCATGAATAATTTGCTTACCATAATATAAAACAAACATAAAAATAAAGTGAATCATTCAGTAAACTTCATTACAAGAGGCAACTACAGGATCGCTCTTTACAGATAATCTGAAAAAAGTAATCAATCGCTGTCTTTTAGTAATAATATGGTAAAATTATTATGTCAGTCAGTCAGTGTACAACACATTATGTATATACATTGGTTCAAGTTGTCATACCTCATAATCACAGCTAAATTAAATTGTTAGGGGGAATCCCAGAACAGTTGAGGTAGTAACAGAATCAGTAATAATAGATAAGATCACACATCGAAGGTACGATTCGAGAACATACAAATTAGCGAAACAAAATAAATTATGAAAAATTCAGGAGCGTAGAATTAGGAAGACAAAAGTGAAATAAACCCACACCATTCCAAACGATTTTTGACCACTACATCCAAAGTCTCTAGGCACGGTACCCTATTCAGACATTGCTCACTCCAGGGTCCCAAAATACGTGAACACTGCTTCAAAGACGCCTATAATTGAGCACCAGTAACATACAAATATCCCCTATTCCTAATGGCCATGCTTTACGTAGAAAGTAGAACGGAGCATACCGATGCGCAGTGAACTTGTTTTTTGGTTGGCAGATGGATATCTCTCCCACTCCACAGGTGACACAAGTTCGCAATAGTCAGTACAGCTTCCTAAAGTTTTAGCGAGATTTTTTAGACACCAGACCATCAGGACTGATGCGGCTTCCATGATAAATCGAGTGGTCGAAACATTCAACTACTTTCCTCCCTACCATTAATTCGGGCTGTGGCGCAAGCGATCGAGAGCAGTCAGATAGGATTAGAACGAGTCCCCAGATTTTAACCGAGATCTCTGCTCACACTCTAAACATGCTCGAATACTTGTTCAAGTTGGTCAGAAGACTGAATTTTAAGATTATAGTGTGATACAAAAGGGAAAAATTAAGCTTGATGGTGTGGTCTAAATCTAACGGGGTAAAACCGATCCACAAAACTTCAGTCGCTTATTTGTTAAACAGCATCTATGTTTATTTTATTAGTTAAACCACATTGATTAATCTTACCATTGCATTCGTTTACATCAGTTCTTTGAGTATTTGTCTACACTAGAAAGCACTTTTTGAAAAGTTCATTTATAATCTATGTTAGAGCAACAAACACGCACTAATGCAAAGAATATTTTAAAAGAAAAAATCTACGACATCGCTACGAATCACTTCTTATTTTCACTTACTTGTTTAAAGTATTATTTATTTTATTTGCCGTAGTTGAATAGTTAGTTTCCAACATCAAAGAACTTAAATGAGATATCAGCCTTTAAATATCAACAATACGACGAGAATTATATCTAGAAAAATGAGTACTGTCAGTTTATAATTGTATGTACATTATCGTAAACAAGTCTGCATGTTCATCAATTACATAAGCCATCAACACACTAAAGATATAAAATCCATTAAAAATCTCTAACGTTCCCTTTCACCCTTATAAGTTGAAAAGAAACTACATTGCCAACATATTCAGAGGTGGGAATAATGAGCTTCATAAGTGCTCCAGCCGGAAAAAGTACATAAGAGTGAGGAGCATTACATTTACTCGATAATTTTCGTGTCGAATTGTTTATAAGACATTATTCAAGTTTTACTAATGTATTGTTTTGTAGGAGAGTTAGTAGCTTTGTTGGTCGAAGATGACATCTCGAAGATATTCCATTCGTTATCTTGAGAGATAATAAACAGAACTAAGCGTATGAAATTTCTCGAAAAAGCCTTCTTTTACAATTCCCAAGATGCATCTTTAGACGATTTAGTCAGTACTAAATAGGGAAAACATACATAATTCTCTTATGCGGAAATTTTCATTTACTTAAATTGAATGTCGCAAGTGCATGATTATTTCTGGAATTGTAATTAGAAAAGAAACGATATGCTTAATTAACATGAATAAAACATGAAGAAAAAACATTTGCTCCATGAAGATTGATATTCTCAACGAATTCCTTAAGGCTATAAACTTCATGCTGAATAAAAATAAGTGTCAAAATGATATTGATGTTAAGAAGATATCTTTCGTTGTAATGAGTGATTCTAACATGATCTACTCTGGAAAAGTATCAGATATCTAATACAACAAAAGAGACAAAAAAGCATAAAAAAGGCAATATCAAATTTTTAAACTAACTTCTTTGATAGCTTCCCTAATATCGACAACAGAAAGAAATTTAAGACGTTCAAAAGCTGCTAAACACGATTGGATAGTACGACGAAAAGGAGACTCTAAGTCCATTTTCTTAAATGACTCGATGAGACCTTGCAAAATTCCGTCAATTGCCTAAAATGTGCGAAAAATTGATATAAAAGAGATTTATAAACATAAACTAACTGAATAACATATGAAACTTAAGAATGTTTTAAGGTAAGCTGTAAATCTGAAACAAAGATGAAGAATTCCAATGAACCACGTCAGATAAGTCTGACAAGTTAACAAATATGCTCACACTGTACTGTGAGCTTAATAAAAAGATATTTTGCGAATAGAATCCAAAATGATTCTGTTACGTATTTTGTTATTTATTTTTGTAACAGACAAAAAAGCGCACCATGAGTAGTGTGAGACATCAAGGTATTTAGAAGGCTGAAATATTTATGTTTATGACAAAATGACTATTTATTGTGGTACATAGATAGAACACGAACAAATAAATAATCGATTTCTCTGGAAGAAACGTCTTTCAAGGACTTATGAGTTGTTCAGATAAATCTGCACTAGGAAACAAGGATTTTTATGCACGTACGGTTAGACACATGAAAAACAATCTCATAATCACTTTTCAACGAATTAACTAAAATGACAGTGTTGTACAGTGAATGAATAGATTTGATTTTTACTAAACACATAATCTAACTGCATATATACGAAGTATCACACATAAAGTGATCAATCCTGTAAACCGTGGGAATCGATTCTATTATTATTTTGCCCTAAATTTATACATACCTTCTGTTACATAGACGGCTAGCGATTGTTTCAGTTAGTCGAGTAACAATCAAATGATCATCGCAGTTATATCAACAGATTACTTGCTACCTGAATTATAGTTGAAGCTATCCATCAGTTATTCACTGTTTAATACTTGTGAGATATCTACCATTTTTAAGCACTTAACCACTCATTTAGTAGGTCATTGCTGTGTATAAGAGTGTAATTTCCACTTCAGACTTCATTTCAAGCATTCGAAGTTCGATCACATCTGTCAGCTATGAACACTTTAGTGTAGAGTATTCCAACATGTTGGATGAAAAACACAAATATAGAGAAAGTTAGAGCTTGGAATGAAATCGCGAATGAAAATCACATTTCTATCTACAGCGATTATAAACTAAATGAATAAGAAAAAAAAGGCCCGAAATTTCCGGATATCACTTATTTGTTGAACAATTAAAAGTGGATGGATAGCCTTAGACTTTGTTTATTAAATAACATTTCAACTGCATGCAAAGTAATAAAGGAAAAACTGAAACTATACTTGAATAATTCATTTCCTATATTACGTAAGCAACTGAATGTTGAAGTTAACTATTAGATAAGACATAGATCTACAGACGTAAAATAACTTTACAGTCGTGAGATGCACAGGAACACAAAACCAATTTTCACATATTAACTAACTGCTTAGAATAATTGGGTGACTAAGATAGATATTGCTTTGTTGTTTCCATGATTTATAGGCATTTGCAGACCAATTTTTACAATAAATAAACAAATCAGGACTACACGTTCAAAATACAGTATTAATAAAAACTCTGTTCTTTATTCAAAGAAACTAATGAAAGTTGTAGATATGTCACTTAAATAAAAACAAATCACAATTGTAAATGATGTCAAAAGTTGTTTACAAGTCAAAGAAAAAACTCACTTACCTCACTTAGTACAGGCGAAACGAACTCTCCGGTGCTGATCGCTTCTACGAATGGTTCGTTTTCACATCGAGTCAAAATAGCGTCCGACAGATTTAAACGAATAATATCCAACGTTGGTCTGATAGCATCTAGTTCATTTTTGTCAACATAAAATGTCCTAGATTTGGACGAGTCCGAGAGTGACCCCTCAACGGCATAAAAAATTGATTTTAAACTTTCAAAAACGTATTGGTCCATTTTTCGGGGACCATCTGGATAGCGACCAGTCAGATATCGACAGACTTCAGTTTGCAAGGTCCCGCCAAAAAGGAAAGGTACAATGCAAGAGACCATCAAGATAGTTGAGAAAAGAAACATGAATCCTACACCTCTGGAAACAAAAGTAATGTAGCATTGGGAGTTAATTGCAAGAAGCAATTCAATCACTTCAAAAACAAAGTTTCTATAAGTATCCATGAATAATGAAAAGAAAATATCATGATGAATTATCTATTACTTGGTTTTTCAGATTTACTGAACTTCAGTTTATGTGACTAAAGTTAATAACGTAAGCCTGAGTAAAAGTAGAACTATGTTTTGAAACTGTAATGCAAACCGAAAAAGTGGAAATACATTCACACCCTGATTAAAATCCGAGAACAAGATCAAAAATTTACACCCTAAACCTAAGGGTAAATAGAAGGCTCTTTAAACCAAACAATTAGTGGTCAAAAGATATTTGACGCCCAGTAGGGCTTCACAAATAAAGATTTAGAACACTTGTGGAATGAAATGTCATGAAAAGGATAATAAAAAGGTTTATATGATCGGATTATATTTGACCATGAATGAAAAAAAGAAATAACCACCTACTTCTCCAAAAACCAACATAATTTAAGTTTTGTAATGTCAAAAATTGTAAAGAGAACTTTCATATTTGCCCGTAACGAGTTACTCATCTCATATCAACACATTACTTAATTTCTGTGTTGAAGAAAGAACCAACTCATCATTTTAAAATAGTTTATTCTTTTATCAATAGCACCCAACACAAATGTTATTTAGTATGATATCACAGGGCAAAAAATCAAACCTGATGATGTTAGGGATTAATTCTATAAGAGAGAGGATGGCTTAAAGTTCTAATAAAGTTCTATCGTTTATTTATTAAATGACTCTTAGTAATTGTTATATCAGAAGAAGACTAAAGGAATGACAACTAGGGATTATATATATATATATATATATATATATATATATATATATATATATATATAATTTCTCTTTTACTCATGATTTGAATTGAAGTGATATTTGATAGACAGATAGATGTATTACTTCTTTCGAAAAGAAAATACGATGCGATCATAATATCATATCCTTTAAACTTTGTAAAATTAAAAGTGTACCGGAATATTATAAAGGCTAAAAATAAAACTAACGCAAGTAGGAAATTAGCGCCAACACCCCGATTACACAAACCGGCCTCTTCATATGGACGATCACCACAAGTGCCGAAGCATAGTCCAAGATATAATATCAGGAAAATTAAAATGGGAATGCACAGCAGAGCCACGCCACCATATAACACATATTCGACAGCTCTAGAAATTTTCATTGAAGATAAAGTATAACATAGAAAATTTTCAATAAGAAATACAATAAGAATAAATGCAAATATTAAGTCTGTTTGTTGCCATTTACAGAGCAGATCCAGTCAGTCGGCTACAACATACGACCAGGTATATATACGCACCGGTGCAACTTCCCATATTTTATTAGTACAACAACATCAACACCGAATTCGTAGAAGCAGTCACTTCAATGGTAGTAATATATGTAGATAAAGATAGCATATAAGGATATGATACACGGAGAAAGAATTAATTCGTAGAAGGAAAGGTATAAAGTATATTTATTCTCACGGTTTGAGAGAAGACAAGCACTGCACACACCTACGCCATTGTGATCGATTCTCAGCAATGTCACCCAGTCTCCAACCATTGGTTACGATAGTCACGCGCAACCCAGTCTAGTAGTCTGCATCTAACATGGTTCAGACCATCCGTCTCCAACACTAGTCAGCACTGCGCGCCGTATTAATCAGTAGTTGGGTATGCGTGATACATGGCACAACCATCACCATCGATGAAGATTTACAACCTCATCAAATGATTTGCCATCATTCACTAATACCATACGTCTAACCTCACTATTACTTACCCGGTGATCCCAGCAGATGCTGGCAATATTTCTAAGACATCTGTGATCAAATACTAGTAACTTACGAATATCCTCTACCTTTAATGGCCACGTTTTGCAGACGTGAAGTAGAACAGAACGAACTGCTGAGCAGTATGTCCGTCTTTTAATTGATAGACGGATATTTCGTCTTCGCCATAGGTGATGTAAGTCGGCAAAAGCCAAACATGCATTTTGAATCCGTGCTGAGATTTCGCAGACACCAACCCATTGGGGCTGATCAGACTTCCAAGATAAGTGAAGTTGTCGACATGTTAGACTACTTCACTCCCTATCCTTAGTTCAGGTGTTGATGCAGGCCAGTCCTAAAGCACAAAGTTGCATTTAGAAGGGGTAAATGTATCCCAAACATCCTGATATTGTTGCTCAGTGCTACCAATACACCCTGCATTTTATCATCGTCCTCACCAAACAGGACTATGTCGTCTGTGTATCCTAGGTCAATAAATGCACCTCCTGGTGGACCAATACACAAAACTTCAGGCTACGAGAAAGTTCTTTCCAGTAGTAGGTCTATGGTGAAGTTAAACAATTATGGAAATAGTGGACAGTCTTGCCGGACACCACTTGAGGTTGCAAAGTCAGATGACAGTTAGCCATAAGCTCTCACTCGACTGACAGTGTTCGAGTAAAGAGCTTTCACAAGGTTTATGTACATCTGAGGTACACCTTTTAATGACAGACACTGCTACAGAACCTCTCGCTCTACAGAATCAAATGCTGACTTTAAGTCAAGAAAGACCACTATTGTTGGACTTCGATAAGCATGTCTGAGTTCTAAAATCTAACTAGTGGTGTATATGTGGTCGATACAATCACAACCAGGTTTGAAGCCAGCCTGATTTTCTCGTGTTTATAGTTCACGAGTCTTTTTTAGGCGTCCGATAATTACTGTGCTAATATCTTAGACGCTAAATTAGTCCAGCTTATCCCTCTATAATTATCACGGGATGATTTTGACCCCTTCTTATACATTGAAACGATCAGTGATTGCGACTAGTCAGATGGGAACACGCCCAGATTTTAGCTAAAATAATTAGTCAAACTTATTGTCAAAACCGGACCGCCATCCTTAAAGACTTCCATCTATTTGGTTCAGCTGCCTTTCCTCGTTTCAGATCAGTTATAGCTTTTCGAACTACAATTAGATTCGGGTGACCTATCTCAATATCTCATTCAGGCTGTGTTATATCCCCCGGTGAATTACGAATGGTAACTATTAGGTGCATTTATGGATCAAAGTAATATGCCTATTTCCTAATGTACAATTATTACGTAACTGAACTATTCATATTCGTATTTGTCGACTATAGACAAACAGATGGAGTTGCAATGGGTTCTCCATTGGGTCCTCTTTTGGCTGATTGTTTCATGGCCAATCTAGAAAATTCAGCACTTCGTCCAAAAATCGATAAATTTCTTTATATAAAAGACATATGGATGATACTTTCATTATTTGTGATGATGACATGGACCACAATGAAATATTAAATATTTTCAATAACTGTCACCCTTCAATTCAATTTACCTTAGAGGCAGAATCGAACCACGAATTCCATTTTCTTGATGTCCATTTGAAAAGATTGCCTGATGGTTATTTACAAAGATCTATGTATAGAAAACCCACTTGGAATGGACAATACACGAATTTCCATAGTTGGGTTCCATTGAGTCGAAAGAGGAACTTAATTCACTCTTTATCATCTAGGATTAAGCGAATCTGTTCTAGTGACACAATAAATGAAGAATTACTTCATCTTCGACAGACCCTCATCAAAAATGGTTATCCACCGAGGTTCGTTGATAGCAACTTAACATCTAGACGTCAGCAACAAATAACTTTGACGGTGCAGAAGAAAACCTTGTTTATGAATATGGAATTCAAGGGAGACACGGCTGCTGAAATCCTGAATAAACGGATTTCAAAAACGTTGAATAAAACTTTCTACACAGCCAAGCTCCGAATCGTTTTCTCTAGCCGGCCTACCATTCGGGGGTGTGTTAAGGATAAGCTTTCGCTTTGGGCCACATCGATGTGTATTTATAAATTTACTTGCTCATGTGGAGCACGTTATATAGGCCGCACAAAGCGATCGCTTTCCAAACGTATCTCTGAACACTATCCAGCTTGGCTCCTAAAAGGGGAATGTAAGAAGATAACCAGTTCGATACAAGAGCACTTGATCAATTGCGGACACATTGCTCCAAAAGAGACGTCTTTTAAAATAATCTATAGAGTTAAAGGAACCGGATCAAAGGGAGGTCGAATCAAATTTTATGCACTGCTGAGGCATTGGCAATCCATGAATTGAAGCCTGAACTTTGCGTGCAGAAACGATTTGTCCAACCTCTTATCCTTCCTTGGCCTTAATTCTCTCATTGAGTACGTTTTTTTTCTGTACTTTTTTAAATTACTATTTTACATTTAAACTATAATCAGTTATCATTATTATTATTATCGTATACAAGTTTTCTTGATTATTACTCAGATTATTATTATTATGACTTTTGTGTTTGTCGCTTTTCTTCATATCTGTCAATTGAACTATTATCTGACCCATAAATTATTTTCTTGCTTATCCCTTGATTAGTACGTCACCTCATTTGTTATTTATTGTCGAATCCATTTATAATGCAATCTTTTCTAGCCTCCTATAGACATATATTTTTCATATCACTATATGTACGAATGTACAGCTTAAGTAAATGATTTAGTCGAAAAGAACATTTTCTTCGCTGAATTCTCTTTTTCTTATTCAATGACATTATGAGTTATTTTAGTTATTCGTATTTCTCTTATCATTAGTTTTATTTTGACCTTGACTTATTATCATACGATTCTTGAGTTATAATCAGTTTATTGATTACTTTGGTTTGTATAAAAACCCAGTGTGTTTGTAAATAATGATTCATACCATTGAGGCTGTTATTGGTGTTTTGGGCTTAACTGGTTGGGCTAGACAGATCGCAGGATCGGTTAGCACTCTAGTCTGCTCGTACGGTTTCGCGTGTCACTGTTCTAATTGACAATTCGCTGCTCCCTAATTGGCGGTCTCATCAAGTCACACATCAACTAGTCATCCACTCGGCCACAGTATATAACAGGCTGTTTGGAACTGGTAGGTAGATGTAGAGTGGCTGAAGACCAACTGAACTGCTACTTAAGGCGTTTATGATCCTTTGGTTCAAATCAGCAATACATGTCGCTGCTGTTTCTACAGCTGTTCGTACATCTTTCCAAACAACATATGGGTCAGCCTTGTTTTCGAAATCACCTAAATCTGGCTTCAGTTGTTCCTGAAATTCATCTTTGGCTTTCGCATCACCGAGTTCAATTCTAATGGGTTTTCTTAATGTGGCTTTTCTGTGTCCAGTGAGGCGAGAAAAAATACCTGCTCGTATTAGAGCATGATTGGAGTCCAAACTGATATTCCAGAACGAACGACAGTTTTCTACTGAGCCTCTCCAACGATGAATGATGGCAATAAAGTTTATTTGAGTCCATCTTCGGTTTGGTGCAGGTGGTCGTCATGTTAGACCATGACTCTCTTTATGCTTGAAATTAGTGTTTACTAAAAATAAACGATTGCCTGAGCACAGTTGCAACAGGCGATCACTATTATCTGTTCGCTGAGCCGGAATACTAAAATGCCCACCTAAATATATTTCTCTTTGGATTAAGCTACCTACTTGGGTAATAAAGTCACCTGCGACTAGTACTATGTCTGAGTGTTTAGCTTTATGGAAAAGTTCAGAAAGTTTTCTGTAAAAGTCATCTTTCACTTCATCCGGTCTGCAGTCAGTGAAAGCGTAGGTAGAAACAACGAAAAGGTAACGACGTGTGTCCCTATTTCTTCGAGTTCTTATGGAGCAGTTTAGCTGAACAGCACATAGGCAACTGTTAACGTGCTTGTTAATGCTTGTTCTGCCCCCATACTTGGTGCTATGCCTACATCCTTCAGTCCACGAAAACTAGACATTGGGTCGCTAAATACATGGAGTGTATATCCCGTCGGCTTCTCGTTTTGGTGAGGTGAGGTCAAGTGAAATACCACGCTAGGATCCTGCATGTATGTTTCGGAGACAGCATACATCGATAGCACGAGATTCTAGAGTGTTAACCAAAGAGACCTGCTGGCCGATTTGACATGGGTTACGGACGTTGAAGGATCCAATGTATAGTTTGGAGCGAGGTTTCGGTAAACTTGGGTCAGTGTTTCGTGCACTGGAACCGTTTGTTATGGTGACATTTGTAGAGGAAGTTTAGAATTGATAGTCCAGGTAGAAGGAATGATAGGAATTGAAGAGGAAGATTGATTATGAATACAATGATCTTGAGTAGTGTTAGAGGTATGAGGGCAGTTATCACTACCCGGTCGCCCACATCGCAGAAGGGTTCTTCTAGTAGTACCTGAAAAGGAAATTGGATTACAGTTGATCTTAGTGACCTGAGAGCGTGACCGCAGTTCCCAAGGGACAACTGCTTGAGGCCGATCACACACGACCTTTTTGTGAGCGATTTTTGTGTTAGCTCCGTACTTATTGAGACCTTACCATCGGAGACGGATATCCGTGAAGTAAGGCGAGGTGTGCATTTTTAGGGTCGACTTTCTATAACCCCACCCCTTCTTGTGGAAAGGCAGCATCGCTGTTATGCTGGTTGTCTGAAGGAAACACATTACCACTGTCACACCTCTGTACAGTCAGCAGTACGACTTCGCCTTCGGACCTTGGGTTTGCTTTCTTTAGTCTTAACGTTCTTCAACCGACTTGCCTGGAATGGTAGGATCTTGAGGGACGATTGTTCCAGTCAGTATAGCCCAGTCGGTTCATTACGATATGCAAGCCCGACCACCACGTCAAAAGTAGCAGCAACGGACGGAATTAGATAGAACGGACGAGTCAATAAATCTTTCAAACTCGACAAGATCCTTTCGGTAATTTTAATGAAACAAGTGTTTGTAGTCCTGGAAATTTCGCATACATACAATAAGGATAATCGCACTCTGTGATTTCATAATGTGAACATCGGTCGATCGAACAGCTGTCAGAAAGACAGCTAGAAATATGAAACAAGCAATAAATAGTTAAGTGGTTCCTCTTGAAACTAGCATTACTAACAGAAGAACGTATAGTGTCGACTCACAGCGTATAAGACACATAAACATGATATAATAAAGCATCGTTAACTTGTTACTAGTAATGAGTTTACAGTAGCCTAAAAATCTATTAGAAGCATTTATTGCTTTACTTTGTCAGTTAGACAAACGTAAATATAGAATTTTCCAAAGCATGTCAATCACTCATTCCATAAACAACGTAAGCAGCATAATTTTGATAGCAATTTTTTAAAAGGAACTTTGCCAAAAAGTATATATAAGTAGGATAAAATGCACACTAACCGTAAATAATGATCATTTATTTCTTCATTAATCTCCAATGAAATTCGATCACGAATAAATTTTAAAGTGGTGCTTACATTAACCATAATATGTTCGAATACACTAGCTAGTTTCTCTCGTGTCTTTGGAGACTGAGCTAAATCGTTCCAGGCACCTATGAAAAAAAAGTTGTGTAAGTTATGATAGAAATGTACTCTAACAGAATAATTGAATCCTATAGATGAAAATATTGAACAAAATAAAATACAATACAGGTATATGGGAAAAGTAAAATAGGTTTTTTGTCACAATATGTATTACCATTTAAGAAAAAACCGCTTGAACAGAACCATGAACTGTATTTCTAGTATAAACACGTCATGCACAGATGCAGATGCATACTAATGACAAACTAACGTAATGAGAAATCGAATACCAGATGGAAAAAATTAATGTCTCCAGTCTCTGAATTCATCCCAATGTTTAGGACCTGATGGTATCCCAAACCTCCTTTTTAAAAAATGTGCCGATGTTTTATGTTATCCATTAATGAATATCTTCAACAGATCCTTCTCAACTAATGTCTTACCGAAAATGTGGAGAAAGATAAAGATAATCCCTATACCTAAGAAGGCTTCTGGTGATAAAAATGCGAAACATAGCAATAACCTCACCTTTCAAAATAATGGAAAAATTACTGATACAACCACTTCAACCTGTAATAAAAGAGCACTGTGATCCATATCAGTTTGCTTACAAATGCAAAAGAAGCACATTAGATGCTGTTGCTGTTCTGCATCACAATACAGTGTTCGGGTTGGAAAAGGGTAAGAAGTATGTTCGATGCGCTTTCCTGGACTTTACTTCTGCTTTTGATTCTATTCCAAGACACCTCTTACTTAACAAGCTGATCAGCGTCGACACTGACAGCTGGATAACCAATTGGCTATGTTCCTACCTTTCTGGAAGAGAACAGTACACTGTATTTGAAGGAAAGTGTTCAACATCTCTACTGTCTACTGTAGGTGTGCCACAAGGAGCTGTTCTTTCACATCTACTCTTCTCTTTCTTTTTGCATGATCTGCCATCATCCACAGAAAACACTTTTGTAAAATATGCGGACGACCTCACCGTATGTATGCGAATTTCTACCTCCTTACATCCTATAGAAATGAATGAGTTTTTATCTCGTATTCAAAGGTGGTCTGTTGGTAATGGTCTCTTACTCAATCCATCTAAATGTCAAGCTGTTAATTTTAGCTTGAGACATGGACAGAACCTATACTTTATGTTGGGATCCCAAAAATGCTTGTGCTATTGGAGACTCCTTAATAAACACAGTGTCGAAGGTCAAATATCTTGGTGTTACTTTTTCCTCTGATCTTTCTTGGTCTTCTCATGTTTTACTGTTATCGAAAAAAGTTTACCGTTTGACATACTACATAAAGAGGCTGCATGCTTTTGGGATTACTCGCCATTTACTCTTACACTTTGTAAATTCCTGCATATTACCTATTATTTTATATTGTTCTCCATTATTCTTTCCCGGGCTTTTGAGAAAAGACTTTGCTATTTTGCGTAGAGTGCTGAAGACAGTTTGCAAGGTATGTGGTGAATCTTTTGAAGTCATTGTTAATATGCTTGTGGATAGACATCTTAAGTCTTGCAAACTCTTGGCAGGTGTTATTTTATCAGATACTAACCATCCACTTCATTCATATCTTTCTCCTTGTATATCTTCTGGTAGAACGAGACGTAAATACATTAAAATTCATGCACGCAAGCAAATCTGTAAAAGTTCTGTAATACCTTACTTAGCTAATTTACTTTGTGACGAACAGGCTGTTAGAGTTGACCTAGTAAATAACCTGTCTTCTTAAGCATGTCTCATATTCGATAATTTGTATAAACTCAGATTTTCTTAAACCTTTTTTATATTTTATTCCTGTTTTTTTTTGTTTGTTTTTTGTTTTTTATTTTTTATTGGGAAAAAACTTGTTGAAATAACTCGTGCTGAGAATTCTATATTGTACCAGATTATAATATAGAATAAAGCCATTAATAATAATAATAATAATAATAATAATAATAATAATAATAATAATAATAATAATAATAGTTTTCTCTATTGAAACATGATTTTAGTGATTGCGTACAACACCTGCACAGATTTATGATATGAACCGCACTCAGTAGCATATCGTTACATATGCTAACAAAAACAGTAAGCTAAACATAGAAATACAAATTAATAGAAAGATATTGGTGCACTTAATGTGTCAGTAAATACCAACAATTTTCGTGATATACGACTACCTGGTTGGGATTCGCGAGATGACAGCAATTGGCGGTTAGAGACCTTGAATGACATGGCTCAAAATCGTTTGCAATGGCGAAGGTGCATCCACTCTTTGTGTTCTACGAAATTCTAATCTTCTGAATTCTTCATGTCCGTATCCTTTTTCTCTTTCCAAATTTATTTCACTGGATTATGCTCCTTCAACAACATCTTCAAACCCTTATCTTTCACATAATACTTATACTCTTTCTACTTCTACCAATATGGGATTTGAATCGACAACTTCATCTCTGTGCTAATGTGGTATGGCAACTCGAACTGATGTACGTACGTACGTACGAAGTTCTACGTTGTGACTGACTGACTGATTTCGTGATATATAGTCGCAAAAAAATAAAGCTGACTTGTCTAAAAATTCACAATTTAGCTGCAACTGATTTTGCTTAAATCGATTGTAATTTAATCACCCTTACTACAGCTAAATCATATGCAGAAAAAAAGCGCACTCTTGGCTTGAACAACCAGTACGAAACTTAGGTTTTATGGTATGATTATCCAGTAACTAGAGGTTAAAAAGTGAATGTTGAAGGAAAGCCTGTAAGAGCAACTCTAAAACGTAATATTTCTTAATATTTCTGAACTAAATATTTTTTGCTCTAATTTGAGAATGTATCGCTAATATTAATCCCATTTAAATATAAAATCTTTGTTTCAGTCAGTTATTAAGAAATCTCTACTTTTCACTAGGGCACAGACCAACAGTCAATTAATGCTTGAAATGTTGCCACATCATTATTTCCTCATCTGTAATCTATCGGTGGAAGTCAGGGATCACTAGAACAACTGTTTTGTTACATGTGGCATTTCTATCAGTATGAGCCTATAGCCCACTATAGAACTAACAACAAATCACGACCTCTGAATTTGCTAGAATATCAGACTCCAACCCATAAACTGGAAGTGATTCATCAACAGTATTATGAACGCAACCTTGACCGTCTCATAGGGAAACAAATAACTAACCAATAAACGACTAAATATAACACAAACTATCCGACGTTTAGATAAAACTACACAATAAAAATAAAAGTAGGCTACAAACAAATGATTGAGGACTTACGATCCAGATCATCACTAATGGAACGTTTCACATTTACGGCCAGATTACTGATAGTTTTATTAAACTAGATAACATTGAAACAAATCAAGAAAAAAGGAATTATTAACTAAAAGAAAACCACTGAATAATTATAAAGCATAGATTATAATGAAGATGTCAGAAGGATTCATGATGGTCAAACCATAAAACATACTGCGAAATCAGATCAAGTTGATAAATTTCCTGAGAAAATGGTAGTTTTAATATAATTTAGATACACTAGTTTCTTTAGAAAGAATGATACAATAAAGTGTTTGAGCAGTTGTGAAAATATTGAAACCCTTGAATTTCAGCTACTCAGTTCAAACCCTGCTGGACTAAAATATCTAAACAATAGTATCACCAAGTTTTACACAAAGAACGGTTTAAAATGGATCATAAGAACAAATGTGCTTGATTACTGACTTAAAATACATGTTTAGTAAGAGAAAAGTTGGTCAATTGGCAAGTTGTATAATAAATATCACCAATAAACCAAAACGAATTTATTGTTTAATTTGACTGCATTTATTTGTGATCCCAGTTAATTTCCTGTATTTATTTCAGGCTGATCCTGTTTTGTGATCAGATTCAGATGACAACGCGGTATCAAAAATTGTTTACGAAATATCTTAAAAAGAGATATATTTCAAGACAAACTAATTCATCAGACCACATGTGTACAGCGCAGAAATTGTATATGTTAGTTTTATTTGATGTGGATTGATGTTACAACAAATCATAATGCAAATTATTGTGCGAGCTTAAATAGTTCAAATAAGCATTAGACAAAATAACCAGACAATCAACATATGATAAGGATGTAAATGAGTAAAAGCTAATAATTAAGCACATGAATAAGTACAAAATTAATAATGAGATTACAGTGATACATCTAATAGTCACATGAATGTTGGGCCTTACATCAATTCAAACAAGACAAGCTTCAGTATGTGTGTTTCTCTAGATGAATGATAAGAGGCTACTTAGAATTTGAAATTATCATGAATTAAGAATGAAGCGAACCTTAAGTGATATCTCCTAACAGTTCAGCATCCAATGGACTTAATGCACCAATATATTAGATAGTCATGCTTCACAGGGATAGCTTTTACCAGCTGAAACAAACTGTGATGAAGATCAAAACGGTAAGTATTGGAAAACGTAACTTTATATTTATATGTGTAAACAAAGGGAAAGTGTGATTTCCATAATACGTGGGGTCAGAGCTTTAGACACTGAACAGAGGCTCAGCATATAACGCCTGAATATGCGGTTTGTAATATATGATCATATGATATGATGGGCAAGAATTCGGCCTAATAATCAAGTTTTAGTTTATTCAAAAGTGAGTGACTAACAAAACTGATTTTAGATCAGAGGGGGTTTTGTGGAGAATTTAGTATTTTCACAGTTGAAATCATGAGTCAATTGAAGCTAGACCACCATCGAAAACCTGGAAGCACTGGACGGTTGAAGTTAGACATTAACACCGTTGGATGCCAGCTCAGTGGTCTATCGGTTAAGGGCTTCGGCTCGAGACTGGTAGGTCCTGGGTTCGAATCTCGCTCGCGAGAGCGGGTTCGTGGATGCGCACTGCTGAAGAGTCTCATAATAGGACGAAACGGCCGTCCAGTGCTTCCAGGTTTTCGATGGTGGTCTAGCTTCAATTGACTCATGATTTCAATTGTGAAAAAACTGATTTTCTCAAATAGCTTTTATAACACCCAATTATGTTAATTCTTCTAAGAATTTATAGATAAACATTGTATTTTATCACGTAAAAAGCCTATCCATATGGCTAGTGGTCCCATCATTGATGTCAGTTTATTATTCAGAGATTCTAGTCTATGTTCTAGTCTGATAAGCGGTAACCACTCACATGACCGCGTTTTCCGTTTTAACAGGTCAAAACTTGTTTGTTATTAGATCCTAATCCAAAACACCAATACTAATAATCATCATGTGCTCACTAGTGACTGGCATCAAGATGAACTTCCTGTAGTCCTAGTGAGAAACCGTAGCCTGTGGAGTTCAACAGTGTTATGAGACAGTTACTCACAGACGATAATGGAGAACGGTCGCGCAATATCGTGGATTAGTTGAAGTTAGGCGTTAATACCGTTGGATGCCGGCTCAGTGTTCTAAAGGTTAAGCGTTCGAGCCCCGTGAGCGGGATCATGGATGCGCACTGCTGAGTTCCATACTGGGACGAAACGGCCGTCCGGTGCTTCTAGGTTTTTGATGGTGGTCTAACACTGATATTTAAAATAAAGGTTCTTTTGAATTGTTACAGACATAGTGAGATATTGGGAGGGGGGGTGTAGAAAAAGTATATATACAAGTATCCAATATCGAAACTTTAGGTTTATTAAAATACACATACTAAGTAATTTAATTATGTAATTAACGTTATCTGAAAACATAATTTGTAAAATAATTACTAACAATAGACTGAGATAAACTTAATAACCCTTACATCATTGAGATAGTCAACATCAGGAAGATGCCGTTGAATTTGGTTAGAAATAGAAATCACTTCTTCTATTTGGAACTGAAATAAAAAAAATCATATAATGTTCTTTTAAAATAATATCACTACGATTATTACTCGAAGTCCACTCATCTTTCTTGGAAATTAGAATTTCAAAAATACATGCATGAAAAATACATACAAAAAATGAATGTATTAGACGTGAATACATTTTCATACTATTCATCTATTTTCCTCTAAGCCTCATTAAATGTTTTTTTATAAAAAACTTGATACGATATTTATCTGAAGTAAAACAGGTAACAAACAACCAGCTTTTGAAACCTCGGCAATAATCGTAGCAACCAGTAAATTCCCTTATGAAAAGAAGACTGATTAAATGCCAAGTTGAAGGGAGCTTGCATTTAGATTATATTACTGTGTGCCCTCAAATTTTATTTTATTTATTTATTTAAACACATAAATATTGGTACAAGGAAGCACCAGATAAATATGCGCCACACAAATCTCATTCGATTTGTGTGAGGGCTGTGATACTGCTCAGGTTCCCAGACTGAAGAAGGTGGTTTACTTAGGGGGCCACACCCGGAGCCTTTGACCTGAATGTCTGATCCACAAGGCAATGGAGCATCGTGAGGAGATGCAGTCCCATGGTAGCCGGTGATCAACGATTGATTCGTACGCCATTTGTTCCCTCAGGATACTGGAGCCCATGTGCACCATTGGTTTGGAATCATGGATTTCCAACTCCCCTATATGAACTTTCCATGTCCATCAACACGGTTAAAGCGCCGGACATTCGCTTTTCGTCCTCTCACATTCGTAAACAACACCCCCGCCACGATAAGTTAGTGAGTAGGACTTCCCTGGCGTTTGGGAGCCCCCAAATGCCCTGGTACGGCGAGAGTGGGGAGAGTCTGCTCTCCCTCTCCAAATGCTCTCACATGGCCACGCGTATATAGCCTCTGCCAGGGAAGTCCCACACACTTCCTTCTCATGCCATTACTGTTGTTTACGAAATTGAGAGGAAGAAAAGCGAATGTCCGGCGCTTTAACCGGGAAAACCCTGATTCCAAACCAGTGGTGCACATGGATTCCAGTATCCTGAAGGAACGAATGGCGTGTGAACTAATTGTTAGTCAACGGCTACCATGGGACTGCATCTCCTCACAATGCCCCACTGCCTTGTGCGTTGGACTTTTAGGTCAAAGGCTCCGGGTGTGGTCCCCTAAGAAAACCACCTAATTCGGTTAGGGCACCTGGGCAGGATCACTGCCCTCACACAAATTAATGAAATGATGACTTGTACTGACAACCTTGTTTACGCACTTACTATATGCCAGACAATTTGCATTATTATTATTATTATTATTATTATTAATAATTACCACGTCGTTTACACATTCCCTTTTATTCTTAATTTGTGTATCCTTCCTTTTCAACTTATGCAGCAGCTCGCTCATGGTGGAAACTCTGTTCTATCTAAACGATCTCCAGTCACTGTCTGGTCGAAAGTAAATGATTCTACCGAATACGAATATTGAACCAGTTTTTCTGAAACCCCACTCACCATTCAAACTGGCTACCTTCAACATTCGAACAATAATGCAGATCAGACAACAGATAGGGCTGGCTATGTCTTTGGAAGGTCTTAATGTTGATGTTTGCTGTCTATCCGAGACCCGTATTCAAGACTCTAGTGAAGTACTACAAATCCGCTCTCCATCTGTCGCCTCGAAAAGCTTGTTCCACGTGCGCTTATCCGGGGACCCTGTGGCATCTTCGTCTGGTCTTGCTGGCGTTGGTGTCGCATTAAGCGCTAGAGCTGAGGCAGCGCTAATCGATTGGATCCCCATTAACAGTCGGTTATGTGCTGTTAGATTAGAAAGTTCCATCAAAGTGAGAAGAAATCGGCGTGAGAAACGGTGTCTTTTCGTCATCTCCGCCTATGCTCCGACAGATTGCAGCCCGGATGCAACCAGAAAGCGCGCTTGACAGATATTGTAGTACTAGCCGGAGACTTGAATGCACAGGTCAGGCGTCTAGACACAGAAGACAGTCGTCTAGGTGGCCAATGGGGACTTGTTGGTCGCAGGACAGATAACGGGAACTGTTTACTGCAACTGTGCACAGACCACAACCTGTTTCTGGCCAGCACTAACTTCCGGCACAGTCATCGCCGGTGTGCCACCTGGCGTCCTCCCTCTGCATCCCAAGCCTGGACTCAGATTGATCACATCGCGATCAGCTACCGCTGGCGTGGTTGTGTACAAGACTGCCGCTCCTTTTGGAGTACCTATCTGGAGTCTGATCATGCCCTGGTCTGCGCCATTCTCACCTTACTTTTCAGTGGCCGAAGGATTGACCACCACCAACGGATCGATGTTAGTAAACTAGCTGCAACTTCTGTTGCAAGTAAGTATCGAGCTGAGCTAGCTTCTAGGCTAGCTACCATCCCACCGAAAAGTATAGATAAGCATTGATTGCAACTGCATGATGCCATGAAAATGGCGAGTAGAGCCGCTTGCGGCTTCGCGAAACGTCCCGCTTACCAGCACTGGGTTTCTTCTGGCTCCTTACAACTGATGGAAGCCCGTCGGTCTACTCCGGGTGACCGTGAGTTTGACCACAAACGAAGGCTGTTATGTAATGAAATCGGGCAAAGATTGCGTAAGGACAGAGAAGCCTGGTGGTCGGAGCGTGCTAATGAGATGGAAGCAGCAGCTGCATCTGGTAACTGCCGGAAGCTCTTCCAACTCATCCGAGCCACTGGCAGCAAGAAGTCTGGTGTGAGTGAAACAATCTACGAGGATGACGGGATGCCAATCACTAACATCTGTCGACGTCTTGGACGATGGGCGGAATTTTTCGAAGGGCAGTTCAATTGGCCTGCTGCTCCGGCAACATCGACCAGTTTGTCCTGCACTCCATGGCCGGTGACGATTGATCCACCAAACGAGGCGGAAGTCCGCAAAGAACTCCAACTCTTGAAACGTTATAAATCACCGGGCCCAGATGACTTACCTCCGGCTCTTTTTAAAGATGGTGGTGACTTTCTTGCTAAGGAACTGACTGCGTTGTTTGCAAAGGTATGGGAGGAAGAAAGTGTTCCAACATCATGGAATGAGTCGAAAGTCGTCCCTATCTTTAAAAAGGGGTTCACATCGTTCCTGTAACAATTATTGGGGATAAGTCTACTTCCGATTGCGTCCAAACTATTGGCTTCTGTCATTCTTCGTAGATTGTTTAAAACCCGAGAACAATTGACTCGCGAGGAGCAGGCTAGTTTTTGTTCTGATCGAGGATGCATTGATCACATCTTCACCCTCCGCCAAATGTTAGAACACCGTCATACTTATCACAGGCCAACAATCGTAGTATTTTTTTGATATCAGGGGTGCCTTCGATTCGTTGGACAGGACTGTTCTCTGGGATTGTCTATTGAAGAAGGGTGTGCCTGAGAAGTTTATTAATATCTTAAAGGCCCTGTATACAAACACCTCAGGCAGATTGAGGGTATAAAACCACCTTTCTCCCTTGTTCCATTCAAGCAGTGGGTTTAGGCAGAATTGCCCGATCTCACCATTCCTCTTCAACTTTGCCATCGACGACATCCTGGAAACAGCTCTGATGGATGTAAGTAATGGCGGTGTGGATCTGCTGCCTGGAGAACGACTTCTCGACCTTGAGTATGCGGATGATATTGTCTTACTGTGCGATAATGCCCAAGGCATGCAATCCGCACTTAATCAGTTGGCAATCAGTGTCCGCAGGTACGGCATGTGCTTTGCACACTCCAAGTGCAAGGTACTCCTACAAGACTGGCAGGATTCTCATCCTGTACTCACCCTAGATGGTGAGGAGATCGAAGTAGTTGAGAAGTTCGTGTATCTAGGTAGCTACATAAGTGCTGGTGGTGGCGTGAGTGATGAGACTGATGCACGTATAATGAAAGCCAGAGCGGCTTATGCTAATCTGGGCCATCTTTGGCGCCTTCGTGATGTTAGTCTGACTGTAAAAAGTCGGATCTACAACGCGTCGGTGAGAGCCGTTTTGCTCTATGCTTGTGAAACCTGGCCTCTCCGAGTTGAGGATGTTGGACGTCTCTCTGTGTTCGATCATCGCTGTCTCTGAAGGATTGCTGACATTCAGTGGCAACACCATGTTAGTAATGCAGAGGTTCGGCATCGTGTGTTCGGGCGCACAGGCGACAATGCAATTGGTGTCACCATCTTGAAACACCGACTTCGGTGGCTCGGACATGTTTTACGAATGTCGTCCCAGAGACTTCCGCGTCGTGCATTATTTGCCGACCCTGGGACTGGTTGGAAAAAGCGGAGAGGAGGTCAGTGTATGACATGGTGTCGTCGTGTGAAAGAAAGCTACAAAGGGCTAGCTTCTGTTGGTCCTTCACGACCCCCTGGCTAGGGTCCGAGAGATGGTGCAACACAGTGGCTAGAGACGTTATCAGATATAGCTCAGAATAGAAGCCAGTGGCGAGCCTGTTGTAACCTTCTTCTACTTTCTTCATAAAGAGTGGCTATGACTTTCCTAACTGAGAGAGCTCTTCTGGTTGTACATTTCAGTTTCCCCCCCCCATCATTACTCTTATTTTTTATATATGCATCCTACCGCTTTTCTCTTCCCATTCTCATTGTTTTGTGTGGCGCATATATATCTGGTGCCGCCTTGTACCAATATTTATGTGTTTAAATAAATAAATAATATTTTTGTGTAGATTGGAAATTAAATTGCTATTCATTCAGTTGAAGGAGACTTTTTAAGACAAACTGTTCGTCTGAACTATGATAAAAAATAGCGATTTTCCAGCAATGAGTGAGCAGTGATTGATCATTTGAGAACACAACTTGTAACCCATAACCAAAAATGCAATTCATGAAATAATTACTTACCACATTTGGTGGAACACGAACTTTTAACTGATCGTTGGCCAGTTCCATCAATTCTCGGCATTCAATGATCTTATCAATGGGACAACCTGTATTCAATGTATCAGTTAAACGCTGACGAATGGTAGGTAGTTCAGAGATCACTCCGTGAAGTGTATGGTTAAAGTAACTTATTTGTGCGATTGCCTCAGATCCAGGAAGGAAAGCTCGTGCAGCTTGTAAATTAGAAACAGTGAATACGGTTAGGAAAAAATTAATGAATATGGAATGGAAATTTATGAACTGCTTTGTACTGCTAATCATATGCAAAATTAATATGAAAATGAGTAAATATTAGCATACATTGATAGCTGTATAACTAGTGATATCACCAAACAGCTTAAATTAATAGGTCATTTTTCGAACTAATATGTTGACTGACACCAAAAACAAAATGAACAACCAAAGAGAAACATCAAGTGGACAAGTAAGATGTGAACGCAATGCCCAATTTTCGAAACGGGTTATGTGAGTATGATTCTCGAGCTGATTAATTAACGTCCTCAACAAGCAACTGAACTGTTACCCCAAGGACTTGAAATGAAAAGCCTTCACTCGTTTATAAGAACTGCTTTGACAGCAAAAACACTTCATGGATCGATGTCACAATCTTGTGCCCAAAAAAATATTTTACATCTAACTGCATCAAACTAAATATCCTTAACATATAAGATCACTCCTTGGAAGTTCGAAAAAAAGTTTATAGTCTCATTTTTATTTCTATGTCACAATTTGTTACACTGTTGTGATTGATGCATTTTGAAGTGACAAAGGTAGGAACCTTATTATTTGCTATGGTGCTTAACTGCAGCGTTATTCGGTGTCTAATAGTGGCGCGTTTACCCATATTTTAATTGAATATAACTTAGTAACTTGTGAACACTGGTCGATTTCTAACCCATTGAGTAATATATTGAGACTTAACTATTATTGTCCTTTTCACCTTTATGAACCAGAATTTTAAGATCTGTAATTTAAAGAAGTTTGGAGATTTTTAGACAATTATGGTGTGCAAATATCATAACCATTTACTAACACAAAAGAATTGAGGCAGGTTTCATTGTTTATTTCTTTTAGTACCGTCATGATGGGGTTAACACTTATGCCCAAACCTTTGTAATTATCCTTTGAAAAAGTTGAATGTAAAGCTCTATCATTTTCAACCCTAAATACAGAATGCTTTAGTACAGAAATCAAAATATCATATGTAGATTATACCATAATCTATACAGTGATAAATTAATAAATATACATACATGTTTGAAATCCTGAAATTGCATCAGATACATTATTCGCTTGAGATAGTTTAGTAAAATCTTCTTCAAAGCTCACAAGGCCATCTGGAAGAAAAGTAAGTGAAGTTTTGTCAGTACTTATTTACACATACGCAGACCAAAAAAATCACACATAAGATTACAAAGAAAATCATCGTAGACAGCTTGACTATAAAAAAATAATGACAAAAAGGTAAATCCAATTCCTTAATTCGCTTAATAGCAAGTCACAAGGTAAAAGCAGAACCAAGTAACATACCATCTATAATTCGCATGAAGCGTTCTTTTTGTTTACTAAGATCTGTTGAAGAAGTATTCTTTGCCATCTAAAAAAAAACAAGTAAATAAAACACCGTCACGTGCTCCTTTCTGATACTATAGGTCACATACCTTATGGATAATAAACGTAAAGATTTTATTTTTTCAAATAATCAAGGTCCTACATTTTATTTAGAATGACTTCCAGTGTGCATCATTTTTATGAACCCTTGTGTTTGTTTTTGTTAACTTTTATTTTTTTATTTATTTATTTAAACACATAAATATTGGTACAAGGAAGCACCAGATAAATATGCGCCACACAAATCTCATTCGATTTGTGTGAGGGCTGTGATACTGCCCTGGTGCCCAGACTGAAGCAGGTGGTTTTCTTAGGGGACCACACCCGGAGCCTTTGACCTAAAGGTCTAGTCCACAAGGTAGTGGAGCATCGTAAGGAGATGCGGTCCCATGGTAGCCGTTGACCAACAACAGATTCATTCGCCATACGTTCCTTCAGGATACTGGAGCCCATGTGCACCATTGGTTTGGAATCAGGGTTTTCCAACTCCCCTAGGTAGATCCTCCACATCCACCAACCCGGTTAAAGCGCCGGACTTTTAGAGTAGTTCGTCCACAAGGATTAGACACTTTTCTCACAAACAAGAACCTGAACCCAAAAAATGTCAAACAATAGAGTCAAACAACTGTCGAGAAATTCAAGAAGCAAAAATGATATAAGGGATGAGAAAAACGTGTAGCGGTTGAAAAAGTCACACCATAAACTGAACTGAGTGGAGGGAGACAAGAAAAAACATTGATAATAAGAGCGGATGTAATGTCAAGAGAAAGGAACTAGTGCAAACAATAAGACAATTCATAAGTAGTTGGTGATACACTTATCTAGGGCAATATGAAACACATCAAGCACCAGCTTTCCTGTGTGTTTGATCCAGATCAAGTTTGGAGTCTCTCAGAGAACAGAAAAGCAATTTGTGTTACAGATTGACCTGAATATCTTGGATCAGTAATGAATGCCCAGACACAAAAAAGTAACTTTAACCAACTGCTGCCATAAATCAGTAGGTAAGTAAAATATGAATTTTAGTCTTCAGATTATTAAATATTTGAACATTCATTTCAGTATATTACATATAGAAGTATGATTGTAAATAATAAACTATACATGAAGGTAACTAAAATCCCAAGGATAGAAACAGATAGAAAAGACCCACACTAAAGCACCAAAGAAAAAGTTCTAAAACTTCATTATAAACGATAGTAATTCGGGATAGTGCAAAAATACTCTTGTTGAACGAACCTGTATCATATCTTTTAGAGCCTCTTCAAACTCAATAAGGCTAAGGTTAGCTTGACTGAAAGCACCTATGCGCGGGTCTCTGCTGGCCAAAGCTTCATGGAATAAATGGTGATTGATGAAAGCCAAAACAACAGCAGCCCTTCAGAATATAAAAGAGCATACAGAAGATTATGATGAAAAATATTAACTTTTTAGTGTAAATAATATATTTCGGCTTTTAAGCTAAATACTACGACGAAGGCAAAATCAAATTTCTCAATATCAGCTACAACGATTTGATATCTTACAATTAAGTTGAGAGAATTTTTACCTTGTCGTAGTAAATAATCAGGACCAATGACTGTCTATACTGTTCTAAAAACACAGCCGAAATTCAAACAAGGAATAAACTAACGAACAGACGTGAATGTTTTAGATGCAATTTATTTGTCACAGATTAACAGCCAGCAATTACACGGTTACGTGTGTGATAACTTGATCAGCAACCAGCTACATTAGTAAAATTGAACAAACCGATGCGCAGTAAACTTGTCTATTGGTTGGCAGATGGATATCTCTCCCACGCCACAGGTGACACAAGTTCGCAATAGCCAGTACAGCTTCCTAAAGTTTTAGCGAGATTTTTTTCAGATACCAGACTATTAGGACTGATGAGGCTCCCAAGATAAATTGAGCGGTCGATACTTTCAACTACCTCCCTCCCTACTATTAATTCGGGCAATGATGCAGGCCGGTCCTGAAGTAACATTTTACATTTGGAAGAGTACTTATTTGTCCATTCATATAAACTGGGACGATCAGCGATCGAGACCAGTTAGATGGGATTACACCCAGTCCTCAGATTTTAACTAAGATCTCAGTTAATTTAACTGCTAAAACTGAACCACAATATTTGAAAATCTCGGGGATTAGTCCATCAAACCCTGCCGTTTCCCCTCGCTTTATATTACTTGGAGCCTTTTCACAGAAGTATTTCTAATAATCATTTCCTTTTTAAGTTTGAACAGCTGTATACTGTTATTTATCGCCGCAGTCTTTTCTATCTCTTTTGCTTTCAGTATCCACCACTGCTCACGATTTCCAAGTGGACCTTTTATTAGCCCACGTTTGAGCTGGTTCTGCATGTATTCAGAGCCAGAAGAGATGAGTTTTTAAGCATGTGTGGTTTAGTAGACGCCGCTAAAATCCATTGACTTTTCTTAATCTTATGGTTCAAGTAGCTGGTAGACATTACTGCAGTTATCACAGCTGTTCAGATATCACCCCAAGTTAACTCAGGGTGGATGTCACTTTTATAGTTGACTAAGTGTTTCTTCAGTTGTTCCTAAAATATATTCCTGACTTTTTCATTGTCGAGTTGAACTCTAAAGAATTTTCTTGCTGCGGCAAATAGCAGTAACTAAAAATGAGCTGACTACTACCACTAAAATATTAGAATCAAATTACTAGTAAAGTGAAAAACCAGCTTCTAATATGTGCGGAGGAAATCAATAGGCTGAACTACATAGACCATGTGAAAGCTAACAAGGCTATTTGACTATTCAAGCCCTAGGAAGCTGCAAAACTCCAAAACGATAGTTAAGTGGCCAGACTGACGAGCTCTATAAAAGAGGTCAACTATATTAACCGATAGCATCCTGTGTAATAATGACTTAACGTCACTAAGTTGACGGAGATTACGAAACTATACAAATACGAACTATCAAAATTTATTACAAAGTTTAAATTCAAAGAAACGGATATGATCGACCTTCAAGAGGTTGAAGTTTTAATGAGACATCAATAATATCACTAAAAATGTTCAAATAGTTATTCCTGATTGGTCTTAGCTTTAGATGACTTTTATTATTACTCACTTAGATCGGAAATATTCCAACACTATTTACAGAGCTATTGTTATAGAAATGAGTAAAAAATAAAAAAATAAAAAGGACTTGAACTAGCAATGTTAACAAGGAAACTATATATTCTAAGTATCATATAAAGTCACAAGGACGTAACCTTACAAATACTTGTTACACTTAGAATGGGTTATGGAAGGCTTCGAATACTCAGACTATGATTCACAATAGTTTTTTTTAATAGTGAATCTTAATGGAGATAAAAACTGAGAATTTAAGATAGAAGTCACTATCCAAAATACTATAAAGGTTCTTAGGCAAACATTGACGACGTACATTAACTTTAAGAAAAACAAGCATGACAGTAATATTATTGTATTGCTCTGAGTTAATCTGACTTACAATTGAAACGTCACAATCAAGACTAGGCATATTGTGTATACAACTCGTTTGCAAGGATCGTGCTTTGAATCTACAAACTGTACACGCCCACCACATTTTCCACAGCACCGAGCGCAGAAGAAAACGATTCCAATAAGGGGCATAAAAATAGCAAATAGCAGACCGACAACAAGACATATGCCATATCCCAAGTATGTTGTTACAACCTGTTTAGAAAAGTATGTGGTTACATATAAACATGCATAATTGGTTATTTACTAAGTTCAAAAATGATGTATATATATATATATATAACGCAAGAAGTCCAAGCATTTGTAAGACCTCGAAAGTACAGTTCTACAGAAAATAAGCCGGTCGGTCATTTTTATTTATTCTCACGGTTTGAGAGAAGACAAGCACTGCACACACCTACGCCATTGTGATCGATTCTCAGCAATGTCACCCAGTCTCCAACCATTGGTTACGATAGTCACGCGCAACCCAGTCTAGTAGTCTGCATCTAACAACATGGTTCAGACCATCCATCTCCAACACTAGTCAGCACTGCGCGCCGTATTAATCAGTAGTTGGGTATGCGTGATACATGGCACAACCATCACCATCGATGAAGATTTACAACCTCATCAAATGATTTGCCATCATCCACTAATATTTGAGTCTAACCTCACTATTACTTACCCGATGATCCCAAAAGATATGAGCAATATTTCTAAGACATCTGTGATCAAATACTAGTAACTTACGAATATCCTCTACCTTTAATGGCCACGTTTTGAAGCCGTGAAGTAGAACAGAACGAAATGCTGAGCAGTATATCCGTCCTTCAATTGGTAGACGGGCAAAGCATCACTATAAAGCTTGTTACTTTCGAAAAAGACAAACCTAATGAAAGACTATATTTAGTCTATTCCCAAATTGTTGATAGCACCCCAAAGGGAAATGTTGACATTTTGCAAACTTTCACATATACATTCCCTAGGTATGCGAAAGAATCTTTTTGAAGTAGAAAACGTGTGTACTTTGGACCAGTTCGCTGTCTGTATTTCTGTAAAAAGTAAAAATAACTCCGTCACAAGTATTTGATCATAGGTACCTTTGAAGAGTTTTTCGCATATATTGGGTCCACTGAGTAAGCTACGTTGACAGATGAGATGGAGGGCACTAGACATAGCATATCATTTGACAAGATAGTGGATTTTTGGCAACTAAGGATGGGAAATGAGTTAAGTATGCATAACCACTCCTCAACATCGATGTACGACGTTTGCTATTACATAAGCATATTGGACGAAAGCTAGTAACAAATGAAACAATAGCATCAGCCCACGAAGTCACCGGCAATCGATCTAAGCCATATCTGTAGCTCCAAACCACCTAATTGACGTCCGTACGGTCATTGAGAGCAGTAATTCGAGCCAATAGATGACGTGGTCTGAATTCGGTAGCAATGGGACAGATACATTTAATCTTTTCTTCCCCTTAGATACTGAGTTGTGCAATTACTCTATGCCTTCTACTTCGCGAATTACTTTTCTAAAATTATTTCTAAACTTAATCATTTTTACTGTCACTAATACTACTGTGGTGTGTGAGCATTGGTTGCATCTTTACGACGCCATGAAAATGGCGAGTAAAGCCGCTTGCGGCTTCGCGAAACGTCCCGCTTACCAGCACTGGGTTTCTTCTGGCTCTTTACAACTGATGGAAGCCCGTCGGTCTACTCCGGGTGACCGTGAGTTTGACCACAAACGAAGGCTGTTATGTAATGAAATTGGGCAAAGCTTGCGTAAGGACAGAGAAGCCTGGTGGTCGGAGCGTGCTAATGAGATGGAAGCAGCAGCTGCATCTGGTAACTGCCGGAGCAGTTTTGCTCTATGCTTGTGAAACCTGGCCTCTCCGAGTTGAGGATGTTAGACGTCTCTCTGTGTTCGATCATCGCTGTCTCTGAAGGATTGCTGACATTCAGTGGCAACACCATGTTAGTAATGCAGAGGTTCGGCATCGTGTGTTCGGGCGCACAGGCGACAATGCAATTGGTGTCACCATCTTGAAACACCGACTTCGGTGGCTTGGACATGTTTTACGAATGTCGTCCCAGAGAATTCCACGTCGTGCATTGTTTGCCGACTCTGGGACTGGTTGGAAAAAGCGGAGAGGAGGTCAGTGTATGACATGGTGTCGTCGTGTGAAAGAAAGCTACAAAGGGCTAGCTTCTGTTGGTCCTTCACGACCCCCTGGCTAGGGTCCGAGAGATGGTGCAACACAGTGGCTAGAGACGTTATCAGATATAGCTCAGAATAGAAGCCAGTGGCGAGCCTGTTGTAACCTTCTTCTACTTTCTTCATAAAGAGTGGCTATGACTTTCCTAACTGAGAGAGCTCTTCTGGTTGTACATTTCAGTTCCCCCCATCATTACTCTTCTCCTTTTCTTTTTTTCCTTCTTTTATATATATTCATTTTCTTCCTTCTCCCATTCTCATTGTTTTGTGTGGCGCATATGTATCCGGTGCCCTTTGTACCAATATATATCTGAATAAATAAATAACACTGTGGCATTTATCTCAGTGATTCCGTTTCACCACGGTAACCCCCCCCTAATGGGATGGTGTCTGACGAAATCTCGGCACGGATTCAAAAAGCTCGTTTGGCTTTTGCCAACTTTCGTCACCTATGGCGAAGACGAGATATCCGTCTATCAATTAAGGGACGAGTATACTGCGCAGCAGTTCGTTCTATTCTACTTTACGGCTGCGAAACGTGGCCATTAAGAGTAGAAGATACTCGTAAGTTATTAGTATTTGATCACAGATATCTTAGAAATATTGCTCGCATCTGCTGGGATCACCGGGTAAGTAATAGTGAGGTTAGACGTATGGTATTAGGGAATGATGGTAAATCAGTTGATGAGGTCATGAATCTTCATCGACTGAGATGGTTGGGCCACGTGTTACGTATGCCTGAACACCGATTACCACGACGCGCTATGCTGACTAGTGTTGGAAACGGTTGAAAGAAAGTTAGGAGCGACCAAACCAAAACGTGACATCAGTGTTTGAAGTCACTAACGTCTAGTCTGAGCCATGTTGGTAGATGCAGACTACTTGCCTGGGTTGCACGTGACTATCGTAATAAATGGTTGGAGACTCTGGGTGACATGGCTCGGAATCGATCACAATGGCGCAGATGTATACATTCTTTATCTTACCTTAAACCTTGATATTAAAATTACTTCATAACTTTTTTCCTTCCTATGCTATATCCATATATACAACCTTTCTTTATATACTACCACCACTAAATTAATTACTTCTATGAATCCGGTGTTCATCTTGTTGTGCTAAGGAGGTATGGCAACTTGGACCGATGCATATATGTGCCTGGTCCTACGTTGTCGCTGACTGACTGACACTACGGTAACCCTACGGGTGAACATATGTACGAAGTCCGACGTTGCTTATGGCTTTTACTTTCGCCCCGTGAACTGAAATCTGAAAATTTTGGTTGCAATCTCTATATGTAATATGGTAGAAAAAGAACCACGGATTCTCTTAAAAGCTGTAGCAATCTATATTTAGATTTGACGTGTTTACATTTTCACATTGTTCACTTTTAACGCGAGATTTGGTGACACTTTAAGACAACTTTGTGGCAACGCCATCTCATAGAAAAACGAACGCAAGGACTCTTGACATTTTTTTTGAGAGTGAATAACTGAAGTACGTCCAAATGGCTGGAAAAATAAATGCTTTACAGGGAGATGAAATGTACTACTGTCACTGTTAGCAACCTACTTGCATTTCTTAAACAAACCTTTATTAAGGAAAGAGCTTTCAGTAGTTATAAACTCAAGTAAATTTTGAATATGTACACATACAACTAACAGGAGTTGACACTTATTGCCCCCAAATGCCCTGGTACGGCCGAGAGTGGGGAGAGTCTACTTTCCCTCTCGAAATGCTCTCACATGGCCAGCGAATATATAGCCTCTGCCAGGGAAGTCCTACTCACTGCCTTCTCGTGGCGGGGGTGTTGTTTACGAAAGTGAGAGGACGAAAAGCGAATGTCCGGCGCTATAACCGGATTGGTGGACACGGAGGGTCCACCTAGGGGAGTTGGAAAACCCTGATTCCAAACCAATGGTGCACATGGGCTCCAGTATCCTGATGGAACGAATGGCGAATGAATCTGTTGTTGGTCAACGGCTACCATGGGACTGCATCTCCTCACGATGCTCCACTGCCTTGTGGATCAGACCTTTAGGTCAAAGGCTCGGGGTGTGGTCCCCTAAGAAAACCACCTGCTTCGGTTTGGGCACCCGGGCAGCATCACAGCCCATACACAAACAAATGAATGAAATTATGAACTCTATTGACGATATCCCTGGTCATACTAAAAGCAAGACAATTAACATTATTATTATTATTACCTTTATTATTATTATTATTATTACTTACTTACCATATCGCTAATTCACCCCCTTTTATCCCCAATTTGTGTAACCTTACTCTTCAACTTATGCAGCAGCTCGCTCTTGGTGGAAAATCTGTCCTATCTAAACGATCTCCAGTCACTGTCTGGTTGAAAGTGAATGCTTCCACCGATTATGAATACTGAGGCAGTCTTTCTGAAACCACGTACGCCGTTCAAGCTGGCTTCCTTCAACGTTCGCACACTAATGCAGATCAGACAACAGATAGGGCTGGCTATGTCTTTGGAAGGTCTTAATGTTGACGTTTGTTGTCTATCCGAGACCCGTATTCAAGACTCTAGTGAAGTACTACAAATCCGCTCTCCATCTGTCGCCTCGAAAAGCTTGTTCCACGTGCGCTTATCCGGGGACCCTGTGGCATCTTCGTCTGGTCTTGCTGGCGTTGGTGTCGCACTAAGCGCTAGAGCTGAGGCAGCACTAATCGATTGGATCCCCATTAACAGTCGGTTATGTGCTGTTAGATTAGAAAGTTCCATCAAAGTGAGAAGAAATCGGCGTGAGAAACGGTGTCTTTTCGTCATCTCCGCCTATGCCCCGACAGATTGCAGCCCGGATGCAATCAAGGATGAGTTTTACCATCAGTTAACAGTTCTTCTCCAGAAAGCGCGTTCGATAGATATTGTAGTACTAGCCGGAGACTTGAATGCACAGGTCGGGCGTCTAGGCACAGAAGAGAGTCGTTTAGGTGGCCGATGGGGACTTGTTGGTCGCCGGACAGATAACGGGGACCGTTTGCTGCAACTGTGCACAGACCACAACCTGTTTCTGGCCAGCACTAACTTTCGGCACAGTCATCGCCGGTGTGCCACCTGGCGTCCTCCCTCTGCATCCCAAGCCTGGACTCAGATTGATCACATCGCGATCAGCTACCGCTGGCGTGGTTGTGTACAAGACTGCCGCTCCTTTTGGAGTACCTATCTGGAGTCTGATCATGCCCTGGTCTGCGCCAATCTCACCTTACTTTTCAGTGGCCGAAGGATTGACCACCACCAACGGATCGATATTAGTAAACTGGCTGCAACTTCTGTTGCAAGTAAGTATCGAGCTGAGCTAGCCTCTAGGCTAGCTACCACCCCACCGAAAAGTATAGACGAGCATTGGTTGCATCTTCACGACGCCATGAAAATGGCGAGTAAAGCCGCTTGCGGCTTCGCGAAACGTCCCGCTTACCAGCACTGGGTTTCTTCTGGCTCCTTACAACTGATGGAAGCCCGTCGGTCTACTCCGGGTGACCGTGAGTTTGACCACAAACGAAGGCTGTTACGTAATGAAATCGGGCAAAGCTTGCGTAAGGACCGGGAAGCCTGGTGGTCGGAGCGTGCTAATGAGATGGAAGCAGCAGCTGCATCTGGTAACTGCCGGAAGCTCTTCCAACTCATCCGAGCCACTGGCAGCAAGAAGTCTGGTGTGAGTGAAACAATCTACGAGGATGACGGGATGCCAATCACTAACATCTGTCGATGTCTTGGACGATGGGCGGAATTTTTCGAAGGGCAGTTCAACTGGCCTGCTGCTCCGGCAACATCAACCAGCTTGTCCTGCTCCCCATGGCCGGTGACGACTGATCCACCAAACGAGGCGGAAGTCCGCAAGGAACTCCAACTCTTGAAACGTTATAAATCACCGGGCCCAGATGACTTACCTCCGGCTCTTTTTAAAGATGGTGGTGACTTTCTGGCTAAGGAACTGACTGCGTTGTTTGGAAAGGTTTGGGAGCAAGAAAGTGTTCCAACATCTTGGAATGAGTCAATAGTCGTCCCTATCTTTAAAAAGGGTTCACGTTGTTCCTGTAGCAACTATCGGGGTATAAGTCTACTTTCGATCGCGTCCAAACTATTGGCTTCTATCATTCTTCGTAGGTTGTTTAAAACCCGAGAACGATTGACTCGCGAGGAGCAGGCTGGTTTTCGTTCTGGTCGAGGATGCATTGATCACATCTTCACCCTCCGCCAAATGTTAGAACACCGTCATACTTATCGCAGGCCAACAATCGTAGTGTTTCTTGATATCAGGGCGGCCTTCGATTCGTTGGACAGGACTGTTCTCTGGGATTGTCTATTGAAGAAGGGTGTGCCTGAGAAGTTCATTAACATCTTAAAGGCCCTGTATACGAACACCTCAGGCAGAGTGAGGGCATACAACCACCTTTCTCCCTTGTTCCATTCAAGCAGTGGGGTTAGGCAGGGTTGCCCGATCTCCCCATTCCTCTTCAACTTTGCCATCGACGACATCCTAGAAACAGCTCTGATGGATGTAAGTAATGGCGGTGTGGATATGTTGCCTGGAGAACGACTTCTCGACCTTGAGTATGCGGATGATATTGTCTTACTGTGCGATAATGCCCAAGGCATGCAATCAGCACTTAATCAGTTGGCAATCAGTGTCCGCAGGTACGGCATGTGCTTTGCACCCCCCAAGTGCAATGTACTTCTACAAGACTGACAGGATTCTCATCCTGTACTCACCCTGGATGGTGAGGAGATCGAAGTAGTTGAGAAGTTCGTGTATCTAGGTAGCTACATAAGTGCTGGTGGTGGCGTGAGTGATGAGATTGATGCACGTATAATGAAAGCCAGAGCGGCTTATGCCAATCTGGGCCATCTTTGGCGCCTTCGTGATGTTAGTCTGGCTGTAAAAGGTCGGATCTACAACGCGTCGGTGAGAGCAGTTTTGCTCTATGCTTGTGAAACCTGGCCTCTCCGAGTTGAGGATGTTAGACGTCTCTCTGTGTTCGATCATCGTTGTCTCCGAAGGATTGCTGACATCCAGTGGCAACACCATGTTAGTAATGCAGAGGTTCGGCATCGTGTGTTCGGGCGCAGAGACGATAATTCAATTGGTGTCACCATCTTGAAACACCGACTTCGGTGGCTCGGACATGTTTTACGAATGTCGTCCCAGAGACTTCCGCGTCGTGCATTATTTGCCGACCCTGGGACTGGTTGGAGAAAGCGGAGAGGAGGTCAGTGTATGACATGGTGTCGTGGCATGAAAGAGAGCTGCAAAGGGCTAGCTTCTGTTGGTCCTTCACGACTCCCTGGTTGGGGTCCGAGAGATAGTGCAACACAGTGGCTAGAGACGTTATCGGATATGGCTCAGAATAGAAGCCAGTGGCGATCCTGCTGCAACCTTCTTTTACTTTCTACATAAAGAATGGTTCTAACTTTCCTAACTGAAAGAATCTTCTGGTTGTACATTTCAGCCCGCCTTATCTTTTCATCCTTTATCTACCTACTTTCATTATTTGTGTGGCGCATATGTACCTGGTGCCCTTTTGTACCAATATATATGTGTTTAAATAAATAAATAAAATAAATAAACTTATTGTTCACATTGATGTTGTGAGGACAGGAGTTTAAAGACATACGTTGACCACTTTCTATCATGCTTGTGTTTAGCCTTCTCATAAAATATTATACTGAAGGTGCTCATATGAATTTCCTCAGCAGTTAACCACAGGATTCGACCATACTGAGGGTAAACCTGCATAGAGCGAGGAAACTAGTTGCGTCCCTAAGACGGTCAAAACAGGTGGTCAGCTGATGAACATGGGGAACATGAACAGGCTTGAAACGGTGAAGCTATGACAAAATGCAGTTCATTGTGCAAGAATTAGATCACAACGTAAAATAAAGGCAGAATTAGAAACTCACAGGTTCAATGCTTCTATATGCGAGTCTTGAGTGGTGTGAAGCTAAAAATCAAGGAGAATTGACGAGTCGATAACAACGTACTTTGAATATTGACAAGGGTTTCAAGAACAGCTGTTGGTGGTTTCTGACCACGAATAAGATCCAAAAAGAAATTCGATATCGAGTAAGAAAACTCCACACTATCACGCAGTTGTAGGGTAGTTCTTGTAGATGAGTCATCATCCACTTCTGAGTTACATACGGCAATATCAAGGCTTACACACAAAAACAATACGGTGCTAAAAGCGACTCTCATAATTGGTACTAAGGAATCAAGTCAAGGACTTGAGCATTGCTAGAACATCAACGTACGAAACAATTTGAGCGGAGAACTTACTGTTCAACATTCAAACCTTCAATTTTCAAAATACGTTAGAAGATACTGCGATTTGTTTCTTTCTTGGTATTTCTGTGTTGGGGGAGGGTTTCTTTTTGTTCGCTGTCTGTTTTCGTGATAACAATGCTGATAAGGATATCGCTTAGTAAAGGGTTAGATAATTCAAAAGTTACACCTGTATTGACATAAATAATCAGTGATTCTTATAGCGACAAAATAAAGACCACGTTTTCCTTCGTTAGTAACATTTTTTATGTAATTACATTAATATTCAATACCCGCTGAGGCAGGAATATATTACTGTCTATTGTTTCTTTGTATCAGTGGTAAAACCGGAAATAATTGTTTGGTTATGTCAATGCATATACACACTACCGTTGTATTAAAAATAAACGCTATCTCTGTCATCTGCTCTGCAACTCTATTGGCCACGGCATGTGAATGAAGATTATGACAGTGTTATAAGATCTTTTTAGGCCGTCCTACACTACATTGGATTGTTGGCCCGGATTATAATAACTATCGGATTTATCTTTCTCGTCACACCGTTGAAACCTTTACGCGAATAGGGACCTTCGGTAATAAACTGAACCAACGTGTTGCTGTTATCTCAGAAGGAGCTTACATCTGACATTCATCCCTGAAAATTGTCGTGGTCTTTTTATTTAATATACTATTTTGTTATGTAATTTGTTAGTTTTCCTTTACAGACACTTCAGTTTGTCGTGATAATATTCTTTCAACATATCATTAGTAACTATGCCTATCAGTATATCTTGAATAAGCTCTTTCATTGTGATCCACCACACACCTAATATGATTAGTCTTAATACCTATTGATCTAAATTGTTGCAGAGATAAATAAATCCCCAAAATAAATAGTTCCGTGAGCTTTCAACAGTGATGCTGACCTCATTAGTTTTACCGAACACACTGTAGCTAAAAATTCTCGATCACTCACCCGCACCAGATCACGAGTGGGTACACCTTGCTACCCATCTCTTGCAAATGCCAGCCACCTTAGACCAAACGCTTTTCGACATATCGACGGCTTTCTAGATACACCTTCAAAAACCTTCATTAACGATTTCCGATTTGGTTGGGTTGGTACACTTGTGAAGATGTTACGTGTCACATTCCGAATACCTTTGGCATATTTAGTGTGGAATCCCTTTTTAAAGAAGTCAACATAAGCCACCATCGATTCTCTCCCTTCAAGCAATCCAAAGTCCTAACCAAACTAACACCTAAAGTATTAACATCAGTTTCAGTGATATCTCTTTCGTGTCCTATCTAAAGACGAAGTCTTGTTGAGTTCAGAGAACTATTGGTTGAAGGTAATTATGAACTACGTGATACATATTAGTCCCATATCTCGTCACTTCCCAGGTTTTTGACTTGATTGCTTCTAGGCTAGCTGGATAGGGTTTGTTTTAAAGTCTGGGAGCTTCATGATCTGGTCTTTGGACTCGTACTAGACAAATGACATCATTCGTGAGGTAAAAGGTTTGATGAAGGAAATTCTCCTAGATATAGATTAAGGCTGGTATTTTTAGGGCCAGTAATGTGTCACCGAGATCCGGCCAAACCATATCTGCAGCTAGACTGTTTCTATGTTATACAGACTATGGAACCTTGAACAGTTTACCTAGAGTCGTTAATATCAAGAGTGACTAACTGGGAGTAGCAATCTGCCAGGTGTGGACAGCATCACTTCCGTTCAACCCTAGCAACCTTACTACTAACAAAATCGGTGAACTACACGATGGATGCGGTTTGAATAATTCAATCATAAGTCTACCAAAAGACGTCACATGACAACAGTCTATACTGACCTGTGAACATCAAGAATAAACACTGAACGTGTTGAGCAAGGTAATGCTCCAGAAAGTTGAATGTTAGAATCACTTGCAAATCTTAACATGGATGTTTTACTACTGATAGCGGTTACCACTGCGCCCAATAACGGTAGTCATGTATTTCTGCGGGAGCAGGTACACTCTATTTTTACTAGCATGACCTAGGATATACAATATTGGTTTGTACGTGAGGTGCTCCCGAAGTGCGGTTGTTAAATAAATGAAATCAATAAAAATAAAAGGCTGTACATTCCTGCAAACGTCTCAGAGAATTTTTCATTATGTTTATGTTTTAGGATTGCAATATGAGTTCAGTTTTCATAATGTCTCAAAAATGACATCGCGTCCACGTTGTGATCATTGGAAAGGTACACCAGGTCCAAAATCGGCATTATTGTGTTAGAAATGATTGGGACATACTGAATTTTCGAACGATTTTTGTCGAATTCGGCAATATTTAATAATTTTGCTCGATATATAAAAAGACTATGTTGGCCAAGAGATTTTGTTTAAATTGGCCTCCATTATTCCTGTCCACTTTTCGCATGTCTTACTGATGACTTTCCGCTAAATACAAGTGTTCGCATACGCTCCTTGTTACGACTTTTTTAGACTGACGTTTTCTAATTGTTTACTAACAATCCTATTGCATACATCTTAGAATACGTCATAAAACGAATTCACCATTACTTATACACGAAAACTTTGGTTCCATATCTGACGTTCCATGGAATGTTCATACACAAACATCATTGTGAATAAATATGGAACTATGAACATTCACCCTTCTGATAATGACAAGTAACTCATATGATTTGTATGTACTTGCTTTTGTATCTTGTTAACTATTTTTTTATACTTTTGGAAGCATTAAATGAGTTGCGGTATTCCCAGAATTGTAATGGTCCGCCACAATTATTTGGTGAGGCGGTTTTTATTGTTCTTCCATTAGTATTATTACAGGATCGTCCCCAGCGTATTTTCGTTCGTTAGCACTGTGTTACGACTATTTTTAGTTTTTTATATATTAGAATGAAGACATCATAATAGAGAAGGCTACCGTTTAACCTTTTTTCGTTGTTCCTAGATATTCTGAACCTACCATAACAACCACTATTTCAACAACTGAGATAATGCTATCTCCGTATGTTATAAACTGTTCTATATTTTGGCTTTCCTAAGTGGGAACTTTATATTAGGCTCGTGAAATACGCTAATAAGCAGCCAAACATGCATGTATAGTTATTACACTGCCCACAGAAATGACAGATGGGGTTGGTAATCACATAGATCAAGTGCCAAGTGCGTTCTCGGAATATATCTTCACTAAAGCATCTAAAGTACGAAATTATTGGGCTTCATTCTCCGCAACGTCTTTCGAAAAGAACCCAGAACCATCCTCTACAAGATATGAGTACGGCTTAACGTTATCATTATTATCACTAGCTTTATTCAATATTACATTTCTGGTACAATATAGAATTCTCAGCACAATGTATTTCAACAAGTTTCTGTTTCTTACGTTTCGATCAATCCTGACGACAAGTAATGAGTGATAGTCAGTTACAAGTTAGCACCCCAGTCAATCGATATGTGAATAATGTACATTCTTTTCGCTGCATATTGTCAGCAGCCACGATATCTCTGATTTGGCCTTTATAACGTGTACAAAAAATTGTTTACTGCTTGTCTTTTATTCTCCAATTTACACCTGTTGGATGTACCAAAGTTGAACGGAGTATAATAAAATTCGACTCCAAAAAGGCTTAAAATTGACTCACTCATTGACTACCACTCTTGATGTCGTATCCTAGAGCTTGTTCTCCTGAGAAAAAGTAGGCTTAGGTCCAATTTGATGGTTTGTCCCAAGCTACTCAAAAATCTTGTTGGCTCCACCTGTAATACAATCCTTACTTGAAGCCCACATACAAGCAGCCCTCGCGACACGGAGAATATAGACAACGGATAAATTTTCACACATTAGAATATTAATGTTAGTATGACTCTTGTGTATAATTTGAGAGCTGGTGTGCTTTGTGAGGATTGCGTTGTGACAAGTATTTGGTGACCGAGAATGAATAGAATTGAAGTTCAGAGTAGCCAGTCGAAGACGTCTACTTGAAAGTATTAACATTGGTCTCTCAATAGTGATCCCAGATAAATATATCTGGAGACTCTTTAGCTACTATTCATTCTAATAATAAAAGTCAGTAAGTACAGTACCTACTGACTCATCATATGGTTTTCTGATGAAGTATAAACAGCAAAGCACCTTTCTTTCAGTACCTCATTTGTTGTACACGGTCAGTGAATATCTTCTTACGTCTGAGTCAAATTTAATGTGCGAGTTTGTAGTGCCGCGATTCGTCAACCGTTTACTTCGATAACCGTTATAATTCTAAACTTAACGGCACGTAAAATCAGAAGACAAAGGATAGCAGCAACTACAGTTTATTGTCGAATAACTCAGGTTCGGAAGCTAACAACACCTGAGCGAATATGAACGAGCGAGTGAACAGGCGAACAAGCGAAGGAAACGAACGAGGAGCAAGCGAGCAAATAGCAAGCAATTACATAGTCAATTTATAGTCAAATTTAATAAGGGCACAGCAAAGCAAAACAAGGGCTGATAATAATATTTGCGTGCGTACATATATGAGGAGGAGTATGAGTCATCGAATGATATTTAAGCAGTCAACATTTCGGCTAGAGTGTCATGTGCTCTAGTGGTATAGCAGTGCAAAGAATATGCAAATTGTTACTATCCAAATGGCGATGTCTGTTAAATAAGTTATAAAAAAGGGCTTAACCAAAATTGGCTATAATCGAAAGTGATTGTAGGATGGTTGCTATAAGTTTGTTAAGATCACAGCATGTAACAAGTGCCTTCACATAATGACCATACCGTAAATATTAACTTATCAAGTAGTTCCATAACACAAACAAATGGCTGATATACCTCCATGACCATTCCGCAGTAAAACATTCCTGATTTATTAATCCCACCTTCACCGACTCCACTGGGCCAGAACACCATCTGAAAACCCTTGATTAATGATGATAAGGCCTGTATAAATGACACGCAGTGTAGAATCCAAACTAAGGTTTAGACTGAAGAATAACTGTTGGG